CAATACATTGTTCGATAGGAAAATCAATTAGAAACATTTTTTGTCGTTACAAATTTTTACGTATCTCTCACTGAAACCGAGTTATCGCCGTTTGAAAATTAATTCGATCCTATTGCTGAAAAGCGATTTTTCGCTGTTTTTTAATATTCATTTAAATTTATCTTGAAAACTAAAAAATTTTGTCATTCTAAAAATCAAGTATTTTGTTCTACACACTCAGGGCTACATTTTTTCCTATACTCCCAAAAAAATCGGAGGGGGGCATCTTTTCGAAAATTGTGTTTAAAAAGTGAAATTTGAAAATTAGTGACCTTAACCTTTGACCTACACAAAAACTTTCAACAGCAAAGTTGTCGGGTATAAAAAGTTGCGTATGGAGGTGAAAAGAACATACTTATTTTCTCAACAGGAGCAAAGATATTCAATATTTCGTTTTTCCGGAAAAGTACTCAAAATTTTATATTGAAAATTTAGTGAGACAAAGCTCTTGTTGACCCCAACAACATACTAAAAAATCAGAATGGCATTCTTTCATCTTTGTATCGTAAAAAAAGTGGTTAAATCTATCAAAAAAATGCCCATAAAAATTTGTTTTATAAATTTATAATACAATTTTTTAGAATTTAAATCACTTTAGCACTCCATTTTATCCATCGCTTGTTCTGAAAAAGAAAATAATTAAAATTATTTATTAATTACCATTTGCAAATTTTTACATTCATAAGAGGTATCATTAAATTGTTAGAATTTTTTCTGTGACTGTCAAATTTCATTTATATATGAATGGGAGATGAATGAATTGCTGGACAAATTGCCCTTCTCGGAATTCGCACCCGTCCACTATTACTATGTGCACAAAAACCATTCAATTGCGTCTGCAGATTAGCATCGATTTTCCAGGAATCGCGCTGCTCTCTTCTGAAATAGCTGCACGCGCGCGTTTTATATTATTCGCGCATTTATGCAATCAGCCGGGCAAAGATAATCGCCGGACGATCCTTCGAGAGACGCGCACGGCAATAAATCAATCAATTAAGCTTAATGTCAGCCTGTCCGTTGGGCGAAGCCGCTTAATGACGCCGGTAACGGAGGCAAAAAAAAAAAAACACGAAAATTACGAGCCGCGGGACAAAATGTATCAATAACGCGCATCGCAAAAAAACAAAAGCGATCGGCAGACTAAAACGGTTGAGCGATTTGCAAAGGTCCCTTGAGGGGAATAAGGAAATTTCAAAAGAAAATTCGCTCTTTTAATTCGAGTTTTATCAAAAGTGGTTGTAAAAATTCGCAACAGCCGGAAAGGTGTGTTCGACTGATAAAAATGATCTTTATTTGAATTAAGTCATGCTTGATAACAAAATTTTCGACACATAAAATCCTTAACTTTTTGGCTATATTTAGGTTAATGAGGAAAAATTTAATTTTTTTTACTAATTTTAAATTTTATTTATTTAGGATATAATTTTCTTGTTCAATTGAAATGTTTGTATACACTTTGCGAATTGTGTTAGAACGATCAAAATTATAATTTTATTAAAATTTTTCTCACAAAAAGGAGAATTTTTTACTTTTTTGAGACTCTTTATTCTTTTTTACATACTAAATTAATATTAATTTGTTATAAATACCAAAAATATTAAAAATTTTATTAAAATCAGAAGCGATTGTTAAATTAAAAGAGTTTACAGCTATTGAATTTAAAAAAGCTTTTCGTAGACTTAAATTTTTTTAAATTTTCCTATTTTAATCAGTAGAATTAGATGAAATAAAGATAAACTTCATTGATGAAAAAAATCAGTTCTTATTCGAGCCAAAAACTTTTTTTACATTTGCAAAACCAGTGACATTTTCACTATATTTTCTTTCAATTGAAAATTGAAGTTCACAGTGGCGAATGGGGTCTTTTCTATTTTTGGAAGTTTTAGGTTTTAGCAAAATCTTTGCTAGTGGCGGTGCAGTTTAGTCGAAATATAATGTTTCCCTTCTAAAAAGTGCGTTTTCTTTACAAAATGTTCAGGCAACAATTTGAAAAATTAGCAAAATGAACAGTAAAAAATTCAATTTTATTCATTTTTTGCTTAAATTTTTTTTAATTTTCTCTTATCGAAGTTCAATAACTTAATTCTAATTAAATTTAAATTTCGGTTTTAAGTTCATTTTATCCATTTCCTTCTCTGCACAGCTGTTTTGCTATTATCCACCTGAACACTTGATTGTGAGGAATGCTTTTATTCATAAAAAATGCTTTATTTTCTCCAGCGTCTCGAGGCGTTTCAGGGTCCTTTGTGAATGCATAAACGGGAGGATTGATGAGGCGTGTTCTTTTCGCTGCATCATTTAATTAATTAGTCGCGTGAATCAGGAGCAATAAAACGCATCACGCACCTGCGATGCTGCGATGCGTTGTCCAAGGATTGCACTGGAGATTATCTAAGAATTTTATCCGGTGCGCACCGGAGATGAGAATGTCCGTCACTTTTGTTGAGAAAAAAGATGAGGCAGAAAGTACAGATAATGGCGCCTACCTTGAATCTTCAGTTATTCCTAGAAGAGACGAATTAAATAAATTAAATTTATAAACTAGCATTTCCTTTTTATTTTAATTTCACGATTTTTCTTCTCCAGTTTAAGACTTAAAATTAAAATATTAAACAAAACTAGATTTCTTGAAAAAAATTCAAGGATTTTAATAAATTAAATTTTCATTCAGCACTGGAAAAGTAAGCTTTGCCCAATTGTGAGCCAAAAATTTCAGTGATTGATTTATTGATTGTTTTAATTAAAATTTTCAATTTTCTTTATTTCTCTTGGTAAAACGACCAAATTTTAATCAATATTGGATATTTTTTATGGAAATTCTCGAAGAAATTAAATCAATGAATTATTAGTTTTAATTTCAACCAATAATAATTTGAAAAAAATTGTTCTCGATTAATTAAATTTTGAAATTCTATATTTTTTTCTAGAAGAATTAATCCGAAATTATAATCAAATATGGATTTTTTTTAAAAAAAAAACAGGTGAATATAATCAAATTATATTATAATTACAATTTTCCAATGATTAAAAATCCAAAAATAAATTTATCCCTTTTTTAAATTTAAAAATTAAAAAATCTTTTAAATAATTTGTATATAAATCAAGATGGAATTTAAGTTTCGCAATATCTTGGACGAATTTCCTTGATCTCCGGCGAGTGCGCTGCTTGTTTTTCCATCTGTCACTGCAGCACATGTGTGCTGGCGTGTGCCGTGACCTCTGCTACTGCATTTAGTGTCGACTGCAGTCAAGTGCACCACACAATTAAATGTGTCAATGCAACTCTTTGCGCACCGCGCACGCACACCGACCAATGCACTCGCCGCCTCTGAAATTCTGCATCGCGAGTGAAAAATGCTTAATTGAGAAGAAATTAACCGCGTGTGAAGGAAAAGAATTGAAGCTGCTTTACTCCGAGGTTATTTGTGTTTTATGCGATGTCAACCGGTGCAGCTTCTTTACTGAATCGATCATTTTCCTCTTCTTCTCGATTCTTCCAATAGGATAAATAATGCCTAATTGGTCATATTAAAAGCCCTGAAAAGGTCAGTTAATCAGAATTAATGGGTTTTTAAAAACCAATTTTCACTATAAAGATCAATTCAAATTAAGGCAATTTTATTTTGGCAAAGTAATCAGAGAAAAATAAAGTTGATTTTAAAAAAAAATAAGCAATTTGAATTTTGTTACATTTAGTTTCTTTATTAATCCATGTTTTTTTTTATCCTTATCCGTCAATGTCTCAATGCAAATCAACTTTAAAAAGATTACAAAATTAGATTTATCAAATTAGATTAAATGAAAATTCAATTTTTCTTCTTCAATTGTCCAGCAGCTTGCGTCGACGGTTCTCTCTGTTTTGAATTACGTGCGCGTCGACTAATTTTAAGTGCAATCAAGTTTATCTCTCTAGACTAACAGAGTCATAAACACGCCGGCAGATCCCACAAACATCCTGCCCTTTAGCTTGCCGACTAATGAACTTTCCGAGCGAGAGAGACATAAATCTTTTATTTATATAAAACTCACACTTACAACAAACTGCGCAAAAAGGTTTTTTTATAAAACGGTGCAAAACGGTGTTTAATTTACTTAGATCCATTTAATCGCGAATTACGCAAATAATCAGTGATAATTAAAGCAATAAAAATGAACTGTTTAATTCTGCGTTATCCTTGACATTGGCAGGCTGTAAAGTATTTTATCTTATTTTTCAGCTATAAAAGTCTCAAAAAAATTCTCCATAAAAAAATTGAATAACAGTTCCATCTTGAAAATTTATCAATTTTTACAAAGAGTCTCGCTGGAATTGATGGAAACCGTCAAAAAGTGACACATCCTATAATAATTTGTTAAAATTATAATTTTCTCAATTTATTACAAGAATCAAACTTAATCACAGAGAGATAAATATTGAAAGTTTAAAGAATTGGAATGACTTCCTACTAAAAAAAGTTGAGGACGGTTAAATTTAATTTTTGAAAATTAATGGATGCCTGTAAGTGAACTTTGATTTGTAATTTTTTTGCATGAAAATTATTTGATATAAAAAATTAAGCCACTTATCAAGATCTCAAAAATGGAATTTTTATATTTGCAAGACACTCTTTATTATTAATAATTTTTTTAAAATTTCTTCTTCAACTGAAAACGTGTCTTGATGATCTGTTCTTGTTAAATTTATATCATGCGCCTTTGCTTGATTCAATTATTTGGTATTATAACGAGCCGCCTCCGCAATATATCTGACTGAATCAGTTGTGGGTGCTGAGATGTCAAGAGCAAAATCAACCGCTTGACGTATGTTGTTTGTAAAAAGAAAATCGCAACTCGTTCTTCTCCTCATGAGTCCATAAAATTTATTTCCCTCTTAAGTTTGCCGCCGCATGTAGCGATTATTTAAAATACTCTTAAATAATATTTCTTTTGAAGTAATTTTTTTTTAAATATTGTTTTTGCAGATTCTCACCAGTGTACTGAGCAAACTGAAAATTGAAAACGCCGTTTGGTGTCCTGGCAAAAACAACAACTTTTATCAGGTAAGACGGAATTTATCGATGTCAATAACCGCGTTTTGACCCTTTTGCCAGGTAATATTTTCCACCGGTTCCGGAGAGCCTTGCGAAGAATGTCTGCAGTGCCTTCAGGATTGCGGCATCGGCCAAAAATACAGCTCGGTTGTCAGGTAATTTGTAGCAAAATTTGTTCGATCTGCGGGCTTTAACTTTAAATTTGTCCGCAGTGTCATTCCCTGTAGTTTGTATTACGAAGGCCAATCGGAAGAATCGCCAACTGCTCTAGACGGGTCTTCTGGTGAGGAAGAGTTTGGCTCTGACGAGTACGTAAACTTTTATTATTATTGAATTTATTAATTTTAATAAAATTTAATAATTACTTTAAATGTCGATTATACATTAAACTTTTGTAGTTTTTTTTTTGTCAAGTTTTAAATTTTTTTTATTTATTTGTCATTTAAAAAACATAATTAATATTTATATATTTAATCAATTTTATATTTTTGCTTTATATTTTTTTTTTAATATATTTTTATAATTCTACAGCAGTCAAGACAAAATTAAGTCATTATCCTAGTTTGTTTTGTTCAAGAAAATTGACTTTTGGTCTAAGAAATAAGTTTTTCGTTTTAATTACTATCTATAAATATTATTAAAATTAAAACTACTTTTAAAATGGAATTATAGATTTTGATAAAATAATAATAATTTTATTTTACTCGTAATTTGTTAAAGAAAATTGAAAGAAACTCCAAGCAAGGTGACTGCGTGGAGCAAATTCGTGGCGAGCGTGCGTGCTCGGCTGACGGTGGCCCAGGTGGTGGAGCAGGTCCGAGCCAACGCCGAACTCACCTTTGACTTCTGCATGCTGCTCCTGGTGGCGGGGTGAGTTCTTCGATCGAGCAGCAATTTATCCGTCAGATAAATAAACAAATTTATCACCATTAACCTTGCGTGCTCCTCCCTCTATGCAAGCAATTCGTGAAATACGACCTCTCCTCCCGCTGCGCTTCTCCATCAAGTTTCTGCGCCTCAATCGAATTTATTGTCATGATCTTGAGAGCTCTTTACATATCTACTGAGTCACAAACTGAAGAACATTATATCTCTTATTAATTTTACTTCACTTTCATAAAAGAATAAAAATAAATTATTATTTTATGCATGATTTATGCGTTTTGTGTATCAAATTTATTCGATTTAAGTAATAATTGATTTTCGAATTCTATTAAAAATGATTTTTACTTAGATTACTGAAACTGCAGCCGATTTTTTTTTAATTTTATTTTAATTCAAATCCAACTTCTGAATTTCACTAACAATTTTTATCAACAATGATACGTTTATAATTTATAATTATAATTAACGGTTCAGCAATTTTTTTCCTTTTTTTTTATAAAACTTTTATACATCACTTTTTTGAATGTGTCAAATTTGTGTCTGTTCAATTTCAGTTTGGTAGCTGCTCTTGGGTTGGTGGAAAACAGCTCTGTGATTCTGGTCGCCAGCATGTTGATATCGCCTCTGATGGTGAGTCAAACGGACCCATTTATTTATTTATTTTATTCTTTCTTTTCACCCCGCGAGAGAATTCGCTGAAATTTAATTAAACACGCGGCTGGTGTCTTTGCCTTGAGCAAAATAATACTCACCTCCTATGTATAATGAAAAGCGCCGGGCATAACAGTTTACGATGCACCATAAAAAACAGTCTGGCCGTCGAGTGTGTGTGTGTCTGGTGTGACTGACACTTCTTGCATTTCAGCTGTGCAAATTATAAAGATAAAATGATTGCTCGAGCTATCTACGTAAGAGTGCTTAAATATCATTTTATTTGCGTTGGAATTTTTTTTAGGCGAAAAAAGGATCCATTTAAAGACACATTTTTATTTACTATTTAAGGGAAAATTTTTATCTTTCCCTCAAAATTCAATAAATAATTAAATTTTTACAGTTAATTGTTTAAAATTTATTCACCTGCTTCTAAAAGTCTAAATTAATTTATATTAAAGAACCACTCCGGTCATTTTTATTGCTCTTTATTCTGAAAGATTGCTTAATTTCGAGCATATCTTTTGAAAACGCTGTTTCAAAATTCCAAACCATTGCGTCTCAATCAAAAGAAAACCTAAATACGAGAGATTCGCGCGAAAAACGTGTGAGAATTGAGTAGCCAATCAGATCCATCAGTTTGTTTCAAAAACTAGAGAATTTGGTCACATTGGCGCTGCGATCGCTGATTTTGCCACTCGTGCCCCACGGCGATGCAGAAAACTTGGCAAAATCAGCGATCGCAGCGCCACAAGTGACAAAAACCTGCAGTTTTTGGAACAAACTTATGGATCTGATTGGCTATTCAATTCTCACACGTTTTCCGCGCAAATCACTCGTATTTAGGTTTTCTTTTGATTGAGACGCAACGGTTTGGAATTTTCAATCAGTGTTTTCACAAGATATACTCGAAATTTAGCAATCTTTCTGCGACGTCCGTCTGGGGTCTAGGGTCCCCTACGGCGCGCGTCAAACGTGTCTACGGCCCATCTCACCCCTTTGGGGGCTGATGTAAAGAGCTTTGATGCGCTCGGCAAAGACTTTTGGTTTGACAATTTGAACTCCAACAATACGGCGCCTTATTCCCGGGCCGCCATAGTGGTGCTCATTAATTTTATTCTCAAATAATTATTCTTTATTTGATTCTCCGGGGGGCTTCGAGTTACCAAAGCCGCTGCCCGAGCCTTACTCCCCTTTACGACCCTGCCTACCCTGCCGGTTAACCCTCACGCCCTAACCTAGGTGTCGGAGAAATTAAAACACGCAGTGTTGCCTTGCCGGGCTGGGAAGAGACTATCATTTATTTTGGTCACATCAGAAAAGAATACAAAACAATTGAATCACACAGAGCAAAAAATCTCTGGTCTGGGTAGTAGACTTTTAAGATTTCTTTTTTTTGCTTTTTGAGTTTAAATTTGTCACTTCTTATTTATTATTCTTGTGCTTTAATTTGTAAAAATTTTTTTTCTTTGTTTGTGTTTGACCAAAATAAACAAGTTTATTTGCATTTGTATTTACCTAATTCTCTTTGTTTTTATTGCTAACTTCGTACAATAAACATAGAGAATAGAAAAAAAATCATCACAATAATCAGGAAATGTTGTTTACAAAATTTCATTTTGTTTTCAGACTTCAAAAAAAAATAATTCTTATTTGAGGGTAAAAAAACTGTCTTCATTTTGACATAGCAGCAGTTGTGCTTGCTTGGCACAATATCATGACAATAAATTAAGGCCAATTGCCTTCGCCAGCAGAACATGCTCAAAGGCGGAGCAAAGTTATTGTGCCAGTGAGTTAGAGTTTTTGGCAATAGTCTGGGCAGTTAATAAATTTTGGCAATATTTACATTACTGTGAGTCAATTGAAATCCAAACTGATCACTCTGCAATTTATCACATCTATAATAATCCGGACCCACCAGGTCGGTTGCGCAGGTGGTGTATGAAAATCTCGCCTTTAAACGCGACAATCACGTACCGGCGTGGCAAGGACAACGCATTGGCTGACGCGCTGTCTCGAAACCCTTGCGTTTCAAAGGAAGAAGATCAGCTGTTGGATACAGTAAACGAAGAAATGATTCCCATTGATGAACCGTTGGAGAACAAGGTGAAGTTTGACACGACGACAATGTCACCAGTGATGCACAAATGCTTTAAGTGCACCCATCCAGACAGCATCCAATCAACCCAAGCATTCAATGTGAAAACTGGAAAACAAAAAGGAATTAGAAATAAAATCCAAAAGAAGTTAAATAAAGTTGATACAAGTTTAGGGTTGAAAAATGACAAGTCTGAACCAACCAAAAGGAAGGCAAATCCATGCAAGTGCAACACTTGCACGACGTGTAAATTTCGTAAACACAAAAAGTGGAGAAAAAAGCAGTTTCTCTCTAAGCTGGTCAAGCCTTCCAAGGCTGAGTTAAGGAGATTTTTACATTCCTACTTTGTGCAGCTAAACAGCTTCGGAGATTTTCCAACCACGTTGGACGAGTGGTTTCAAGAGCAGGAAAAAGACCCAGTACTGCAACACATAAAAAGCAAAATTTTAGCACATAAATCAACAAAATATTCCTTGGAAAATAATATTGTTTACCTCAAATCAGGTGACAAAAAGTTGATTGTGGTGCCGGAACATATGAGGAAAATAGTTTTGCAGGCATATCATGACCACCCTTTGTCCGCACATTATGGCCATAAGAAAACTTGGCAGAAGATTTCACAACAATTTACCTGGCGAAACATGAGAAAAGATATTAAAGAATATGTACAAGGCTGTATTAAGTGTGCTACAGTGAAGCAACGTTCACACAAAAAGTACGGACTATATTCAGCAAATCCTGAATTGAAAATGAACCGAACTTTACATGTTGACCTCATCGGAAAATTGCCGAGAACAAGCAGAGGAAATTGCTACATTTTTGTTATCTTAGATACTTACACCAAGTGGTGTGAGGCGTTTCCAATTCGTACAGCAACAAGTGTAGTAATAGTGGATAGGCTCATAGACTTCGTTTCAAGAAACGGATGGTATCGAAGAATCGTTTCGGATCAAGGCCCACAATTTGTAGCTAAACTTTGGTCGGCGACCTGTAAAAAATTGGGCATTAAAGCAAAATTGAACATTCCTTACAGACCACAAAGCAACTTTTCAGAAAGGGTTAACAAAGAAATAAAGCAAAAAATTAAACTTTTCTGTGAAGATCATGCAAAATGGGATGAAAAGTTGCAAATGTTTATGGCAGCTATCAGAGCTACTCCGAATGACTCGACAGGATTTTCACCCAATGCTCTCCATTTGGGCAGAGAAACAATTTCACCATTTGAAATAGAAGATAATTTGGAAGAACAAACACCAATTACAAATCAATCCGTAAAAAGAATTTTGGAAAATGCAAAACAAGTGTATATTTCGGCAAAGAAAAATTTGCAGGATGCAAAACAAAAACGGTCCAAACAGTATAACAAACACCGGATTCATCATACCTTCCAGGTGGGTGATCTGGTGTTGAGAGAAATTCACCCTCTTTCAAAAGGGGCTCAGAAATTTGCAGCTGGATTGGCACCGAAAAGAGATTCGACAGTCTATAAGATTAAAAAACAATTAGGCCCAAATGCTTTCCTGATCGTAAACTTGGACGGAACAAAGAAACATACTGTCAATGCGGATCAGCTGGAAAAGTATATGGGACAGCCAAAGTGGGCTACTCAATAATAAAATATTTTTACTCGCGGTGTCGCGGAAAAAACAAAAATAAACACACGTGTAGCCGAAAGAATAATACTTGCTTTCTGCTTTGGTGAATGCAGCGGCCATCTAGCGGCGAAAAATAGAACTTTCAAAATGAGCTCAGCCAATAAGAGAAGAGAAACCGCGTGACGTCACAATTCACAAAGCAAGGCAGCACCAGCTCTTCAAAAAGCATCGAAAACAAACAGAAGCACATTTGGCTACCACAAATTGTCAACCTAGTTCGATATCCATTGAGGAATTTAGCCAGAGTGTCAAGGACTATCATAAAAGGTAAAAGAATCTTAATTTATCTAGGTCATCCTAAGGATTAAACGCAAAAATTGTTAAAGAAAAAGCAGATGATTAGCTCAGTAAAAGAATTTTGTTCCTAACAATGTGCACCAAATTAAGAAAAAGAGCATGGTGAATTAATTGTCTGGAGTTTTGCTTTGGGACTTTTGATGGAGAATAATACTTGTCAAAGATCCTGTATTTAAAGAGAAAAAAAATGAATTCTGAGAAAATAATGCATTTTTTTAATTGCAGATGCCGAAACAAGGCCGAGGGAAAAGAAGGTCTTCCAGCATGATGGAGCATATCTTTGGCTCTTGCCAGTTTGGCACGACAACGATCCATCTTGGGACGAACCCTTCAACGTCTCGGACAGGCGCTTCAACCTCAGGCCCACGGTCATGGCCGAACAATGATCAGAGGCGAGCGACTCTGTTCGTCAATCTAAAAGTGGCCCTCGAAGACTGCGAGAAAGAAGTTATTCTACAGCACCTGAGCAGCAGTGGCCTCAGGACTCTTTCCAACAAGTTGTACCGCGCCAAGGAGGATGCTGGTACTCAGCAGGAAGTACTAGAGGAAACGTCGTCGATTCTCCTCAGCCAGATCACAGCCAAATTGAAAAACACGTCAATTTCACCAAAGATTAAAGAAAACCTTGGAAAGGCTAGGGATGTGCTCAAAAAGATGAAACGAGACTTCTACGAACAAGTTGAAAGTCGCAGAGTGTTACAAAAGGTCGGTGGAGACGACAACGAAGATGAAAAGGACGACGAGAAGGACGACGAGGAGTCCTAAGAACAGTCGTAACTCAAGTGCGGCTGGTCAAGCAAGCACAACTGCTGCTATGTCAAAATGAAGACAGTTTTTTTACCCTCAAATAAGAATTATTTTTTTTTGAAGTCTGAAAACAAAATGAAAGCAAAAATAAAAGTTATTTGTGTTCGTCACATTTCAGAATAGAGAGCAATATACACTTGACCGGAGAGGATCTTTAATTTTAATATTTATTTTAATTTCAGTGTTTTTAATAATGATAAAAATTTGAAAATAATTTTATACAGGGTCCAATTTTGGCCGGAACATTTGGCACCGTCATCAGAGACAGGCAACTGCAGCGAGTTGGCATTGTTCACGAGTTGTTCGGCCTACTCATGTGTCTGGTGATCGGATTTGTATTTGGGCTGGTCATCGCCTCCATAGTTGATCATTGGCCCGACGATCCGAATGCGTCCTGGCCCACCGAGGAAATGAAAGCAAGGTCCGATTTTTTTATTTAATTAATTCAAATTAAATTATAATTTATATATAAATTCCAGAGGGTTGCTGCGGTCTTTGTGGGTTGGGGTGCTGATTGCCCTGCCCTCTGGAGCTGGGGTGGCCCTTTCGGTGCTCGGAGGCAACGCAGGGTCGCTGGTCGGAGTGGCCATTTCGGCCTCTTTGCTGCCCCCCGCCGTCAATGCCGTAGGTTTTATTTAAAACTAATATTTAATCAAATTGTCCAAATTCTCCAGTTAATTTTATTTTAATTCGCCTTTGATAAAAAAATTAGATTTTTATTGAAAATGATTTTAATAAAATTTCAATTATTTAAATAACAAATTTAGGGTTTGCTGTGGGCTTTGGCCGTTGTTGAGTTGACAAAAGACCCAAATCACCCCCAAGCCATCATGCTCCAGGACAAAGACAATGCAACCGCCTGGGCCATCGATTCTGCAACCGAGTCTCCGAAGATCGATCACCTTTACTCGGACCACAAACCTGCAGAATTAGCGGCCCTGGGAGCCATAAGCTTATGTCTCACTCTGCTGAACATTCTCTGCATTTTTATTGCTGGAATTATTGTTCTAAAAGTAGGCTTTAATATTAAATTAATAATTTTAACTACATTTTCGGTAATTAGATCAAAGAAGTGGCGCCGAAGACGTCTCGTGACGACCTGGACGTTTTCTGGAGACACGATATTAAGTTTGTGAGAGATTACAACAGGACTATGCATGGAGAGGAGGGCAAAAATTTAGGCAAACAGTGAGTTAATTAATAAAAATAATTAATTGGAAATAAAAATAACACGTTAAACATTTCCACAGACTTATAGAGGAGCTCGCTGGAATGTCTTCGGAAAAAATAAACGCTGTTGTAAATGAGGCGACCAGAGACAGCAGTTTTCTGGACAGAATACGAAGATTGAGTTTCATGAACGGCCACAATGATGTAAGTTTTAAAAAATTATAAAAAATATTGGAAACAATTCAAAATCAATTTATAATAAAATTTAACTCTAACTGAGGAATTGGGCCACTTTTAAGTTATAATGGAAAACTTTTTTAAATTAATTAAAAAAAATTACAAATTTTCTAGATGACGTACAGCGGAACGCCAGGTCGAAACGAGAGCACCTGGTCTCCGAATTCAGCGGGCGCTCTTGAAGAGCGGCCCAACATCCGCGACCTGGAGGACTTGTACGCCACCCTGACCGGACAAAGACCTCGTTCATACGTCCCACTGCCAATGCCAACCACTGGAGCTGCCATGAGGAGAAGGTCCTTTTCTGCAGTGCCCCGTCGCACCTCGGTCACCGTCATGGCCCCTTCAAAACGCCGAGACTCCGTCAGCAGACCAAACTCGAGGGTTCCCAATGTTGGACTCGCCACCATCACTGAAACCAACTCTCCAGGTAAAAATAAAAAAAAAAAAACAATTGATTTTTAATTTATTACCTGAAAAATTAAATTAAATTGACTTGAAGAATGGATTAAAATAAATTTGTTTGTCTAAAAATGAAGAAAAAAATTCCAAATAATTTTTATTTCATTTTAAAAAAATTATTGTAATTTGCTTGAAAGTTAATTCATTTTTAATTTCAGCTGGAACTCCGGTAGCAAAACACGGATTCCGTCGCCCAAGTTCGAGTCCCACCCAGAAGCCCAGCAAAGAGAAAATGCGATTCGTGGTGACCCCGGCTGCTGACGACTCGCTGCCCAACACCCCCGTGCAAGAGAGAAAGACAAGCCAAGGTCCCATTTTGCGGAAGGGTGATTACCAATCGCCTGGAAGTGGGAACAGTAGTGCTACTCAGCAGAAAAAGTTCTCTCTGGGATGAATACGGAGCTCTAGAGGACTTCAAAAGTGCCAGATAATCTCTCTAAAATGCCTTTATTTAAAATGTATTTTCACGGAATTGTAAGTGCGTTATATTGGTGCTCAAATTATTTAACGCTCTCTTGATGGAGAGATAAAAAGGTGATGGCGGAGTTTTTACTTAATGATAAAATTATACAAATATTTAGCTATTTATTATGATATATATTTTGTTGAGTATTACGATTTATTTTCCATGAGGCTACTATGTTTTAATTTTTAAGAGAGAATTTTTATTTAGTGCTATGACAACTGCGTACAAGCCTCCAACAAGAATTCTACTTAAAATTAATAAAAATTGAAGAAATTAAACGATTTACTATTAATACACAACATGTTGTTAATCAGATTTTACAAGGATAAAAATAAATCTTGTTTATTTTTTGTATTTATTTTTTTCGTTCAGAACATCATTCATATTTTCCTAATCATTATTTCTATTTAGTGTCAGGCTACGGAGGAAACAATAATATTGCCTAAAAACGGAAAATTCAAGTATTTTTCGCGGAGGCGGAGACGCGAAGGACTAAATACTGCATAGACAAAAAATTCAGAACAAAAAATTGGAGGTGGCTGAGACAAGGACTGAATATTCCTTTAGATGGAAATTAAAAATAAAAAATGTAGGGACGGTGGCACGAATGACTTATAATTTTGCCTTTAGGCTGACAATTATATAAATTATTTAAGGTTACATTTTTACAAGAGATGACTGAAATTTTTATTCAAAATTGGCAATTGCATATAAAACTTTTTACAAATTCATTTTAATAGTTATTGTTATTTCCTTTCAATTTCAATAATTCCATGGAGGAAAATCTGACTTCAATATCAATTCACCCCTCACCATGAATCATCCAATCTTGAGTCGTGAAATTCTACAGCATAAATTTTTGAATTATGGATATTAGAAGCTGGAATAAATGTTAATTTCTACGTAGCAATTGCCGGCTATTAGGGTAGAGCCGAGTAACAAGCGTTTTATTAATTGGCATAAAACTTTTGTGTCCATGCATAGATTTTATACCACAGAATAGGAGTTTATTCATTTCATGGCAAACTTGTAAATAAATTTTGAATTTCTTTAATTCTTATTCCTATCTTTCTTTGACCCAATTGTAAAAAGGGTGGATTACGTCTGAGTGCCCTTTTTCTAATAATATCGCACCATATAAGCCATTAAAAAAAGAGTGGGTGGGTCCGAATATGAGAGAATTGATTCGCAAAGCGATTCTCGAGAAGTGATTCTTGAGAAGTGATTCTCGACTATGGTTTACTTCGAAAAAAGTAAAGGGTGGGTCCGAATATCAGAGAAACGATTCTGGAGAAACGTTTCTCGAGAAATGATTCTAGAGAAACGTTTCTCGAGAAAAGATTCTCGCGCAAGGATTCTCCAGGATCGTTTCTACCTTTAAAATTCAACTAAAGAATCGTTCCTTGAGAATCTTTGCGCGAGAATCTTTTCTCGAGAATCGTTTCTCGAGAATCGTTTCTCCAGAAGCGTTTCTAGAATCGTTTCTCTGATATTCGGACCCACCCAAAGTTTGGCGTGCAGTTTGAATAAAATATTTAATTTTTAAACGTTTCAGGGTGAAATCGGGAAAGGATGAGGTGTAATTGGCAGTGAAAAAGTTACCATTTTGATTTTTACATATGTTGTTGGGGTTGTTGAAAGGTAGCTTCTCCTAAATTTTCAGCTTAAAATATGGAGCGCTTTTCCGGGAAATTGGATTTTTCCAAAAACAGAAAATATTAAATATCTTTGCTACTAATGAGAATAAATGAATGCTCTTTTCACCACCAGACGTATCTTTTTACGCCCGACAACTTTGCTGTTGATAATTTTTGTGTAGGTCAAAGGTCAAGGTCACTAATTAGCAAATTTCAATTTCAAACGCAATTTTCGCAAAGAAGCACACCTTGGATTTTTTTCGTGATATACAAAAAAATGTAGCCCAAAGTCTGTAGAACAAAATACTTGATTTCCAGATTGGTAACTTTTCCTGTTTATTTGATATTTTTAATTGAATATTAAAAAACAGTGAAAAATCGCTTTTCCGCAAACGAAATTAATTTTCAAACAGCGATAACTCTTTTTCTGCTAGAGATACGCAAAAACATGCAAGAACAAAAAGTGTTTCTTATGACCTAACCTATCGGACCATGTATCGATCATGTAGGTCAAGTCACTTAAGGTCATTGACCTCAGTGACCTGTGACCTTCAAAAACGATTTTGCATAAAAATGGAAAATTTTCAGAACGGGCACACTCTTTTTTATTATTTAATTTACTAATACTTTGCAAAATCGTTTTTGAAGGTCACAGGTCACTGAGGTCAATGACCTTAAGTGACTTGACCTACATGATCGATACATGGTTCGATAGGTTAGGTCATAAGAAACACTTTTTGTTCTTGCATGTTTTTGCGTATCTCTAGCAGAAAAAGAGTTATCGCTGTTTGAAAATTAATTTCGTTTGCGGAAAAGCGATTTTTCACTGTTTTTTAATATTCAATTAAAAATATCAAATAAACAGGAAAAGTTACCAATCTGGAAATCAAGTATTTTGTTCTACAGACTTTGGGCTACATTTTTTTGTATATCACGAAAAAAATCCAAGGTGTGCTTCTTTGCGAAAATTGCGTTTGAAATTGAAATTTGCTAATTAGTGACCTTGACCTTTGACCTACACAAAAATTATCAACAGCAAAGTTGTCGGGCGTAAAAAGTTACGTCTGGTGGTGAAAAGGGCATTCATTTATTCTCATTAGTAGCAAAGATATTTAATATTTTCTGTTTTTGGAAAAATCCAATTTCCCGGAAAAGCGCTCCATATTTTAAGCTGAAAATTTAGGAGAAGCTACCTTTCAACAACCCCAACAACATATGTAAAAATCAAAATGGTAACTTTTTCACTGCCAATTACACCTCATCCTTTCCCGATTTCACCCTTCAAACAATTATTTGTCACTCTAGGTGATTTGTTTAATCAAAATGCACGCCTAACATTACTTTTTTCGAAGTTAATCCCTTCTCAAGAATCGCTTCTCGAGAATCGCTTCGCGAATCAATTCTCTCATATTCGGACCCTGTCAATTATAATAATAATCGGATCTTTCCCTGGTCAAAAGTGGAGTAAACGGCCAGAGTGGCGCGCTTGGAAGGGGTGGCGGTCGTAGTTGGGGTCAGAGGCCGGCAGTTGGCGCCAGCAGGCAACTCCACGAAGTGCTGCTGCTGCTTTTCCCCGCCTGGCCGGCCGAGCGAGCGAGAGAGCGAGCAAAAGTCATGCGGGTCATTCGGTGAGACCGATTCGGCGGACGACTCGTCGGACACACGGCTGTCTCTGCTGCCGAAACGCCGACAGAGAGATTGTCGACAAGCAACGAGTGTCACTTCTTGTCACTTCTTGCGTCGAGGCCGGCGCAGGAGGCGCAGCCGTCGTTGCCGTGCTCGCGGCGTGACCTTGCGTGTCCTTGACCAGCGCGCAGGATGACCCGAGCGGCGGCGGCCTGAGCAGACAGTCCGTCGGCCCCCGTCAAAGGTGAGTCGCGTCCCGCCGCCTCGCGCCATCGACTACTTCAGGTAAAACCGAGTAATTAATAACCGGTTGAATTATTCTTCCCGCCGCTTTTTGCACTTGTAATTTTCCCTCCCGCAACCCTTTGTTTCTTTACTCGCGAATTTTCATTCACTGTGTGTGCGTGAATGTGTCGTCAGTCACGTAGGACGCGCAGTCGATTCTACAATCCACCCCATCGGACTTTATTCGCGGCTGAAATTATAACAATTTCCGCCGTGTGCTTCCTTGCACTTCTGCGGTTTGTTGTTATTTTCAAAAAAATTCACGTCCTGCCCTTATCAGATCTGTGAAATATTCCGGAAGTTTCCCGATTAATTCGTGACGCAATCACTCGAAAAGGTTTGGCTAATATATTTTTTTTGAGAAAATATTAATTAATTTCCTAGTGCATAAATCAATCTTATTACATAATTTTGTCTAACTAAAGGAATCTGAAATATTTTGCAATAATTAAATTAAATTTTTTCAATTTAGGGCATTTTATACAGATTTAAAATCAAAATAATTAAATCGATTGCACATTAAAACATTAATTATAAATTAAAATTTATATTACTGATGAGGATTTAATTTTCTGTTTCTCTTTTGTCGATTTAAATTTTGTTTTCGAATTGATTTTAAATGAATTTTAGCAAAACTTTTTATTTTTATAAAAATAAAATCTTAAATCTTTGTCATTTTATTATGAAATTTTAATTTATAGAAACTTAAATATTTAATTTATTTTTATTTTTTTTCTATAAAAATCTAAATTTTGAGCTTTTTTAAACTGTTTTTTTTTTAGCTTTGAGCATTCAAAATTATTGTTTTATTTTTCACTCCTCAGTTGAATCATTACTTTTTTTTTAAATTTGAATTGAAAATTTTAGATTTTAAAATAAATTTTTGCTTTCACAGTTTCAAATTCAAGACGTGCAAATTGGAAACGTAAATATTGTAGTGAAAACTATTTTTTTTCTTCCATTTTTTCAATTCTAACTAAACATCCGGCCGTCGTTATTGTTGTGGCAGGTCAGTTTCGCGTGCATTTTCATTGTACTTTTGAGCTTGGTAATATTTTTATTTACACAAGAAGTGAAGGAATTGGTTGGCCGCGGGGGCTAAACGGTCTTTTCTGGATATATCTGGAATCGAAGCAGCCAGAGGGGAGCGGGTCGGCCTTTCCACCCCCTGTGCTTCACGCATTCCTTCAAATCGCCGTGATCAGCGTTCGGAATCGACCGTTTCTTTTTTCATATAAAAGAAGAAAAAAAATCCTTCCTAAATGACAGAATCATTCTCACACGAAAACTGGAGAAAGTTTGAATGTATTTTTTTTTTATGACCAGAAATGATTTAAAAATTAACAAATCTTTCGTCAGCTACAAAATAATTTAATTGGGATATATTTGTTTCTTTTATTGTTTAAATTTAATTATTAAAAAAAAATACGTTGAAAAGAATGGGAAATTGATATTTCAATGATTTATTTAAAATTCACCCTTTAAAGTGTTTTTTTTCCAATTCGCTTCTCTTTTCATTCAAAATCTACATAATTAAATCAACTTTGAAACCATCCCAAATTTAAAATGGGAAACTGTAAAAAAAAAAAATAATAAAAATCACGCTAAATAAATCAATTGGTGTTTTTTTTAAGAACTTTTTGCTAAAATTCTTCACAGATGGAGACAGAATTTAATTGCAATTTTTCTAAAACTCCTTTATTTAAACATTTTTTCCATTGAAAATAAATTTTTAAATCTAAAATAGAACACAAATTATTAAATTTTTTTAGAACAATTCATGAAATTAAATTTAGTATTTACTGAATCCTCAACGAGATTTTAACCGACCAAGCGGCCTTATTTCTTTATTTTTTTTTTGCCTAAATTTAATTAAATTGATTGCCTTCTGGCCGATGACGAAATCGTCGATAGATTGTCGTTTTGCTAGTCGCGTGCGGAGCGAGCGAATGAATGGGAAAGGGGGATGCGCTTGGCGAAATGTGACGTCACGAGAGTGAGGTGCAAAATAATTGTGCGTGCAGTTTGCTGCTTTTTATTCGCTCACCTGTCCCCACTCGGAACAAATCTCGCCGCCGTTTCTCTCAGCCGTGTGCATTTCGCGTGTAGTGGCATAGCTAGTGTGTGGTTTAGATTAAGCTTTAGTCGCATTTTAGGTGAGTCAAAAATTTTCGATCCAAATTGTTTTTGTGATTTGCTTTTTGAAATATTGCGTCGTATGAAATTTTGCATTCAAATGTTCTGGAAATTAACTGATGATAAAAGTTTACGGAAGTCACAGGGATTAATTATATTATTGATTCGTCATTTTGTCTACCAACATAAAAAAATTAATTTAATTCATTCATCCCATTGAGATAAAAAGTGTTAATCAAGATACATTTGAATTAAGCTGCTTTTAAATGAAAACAGTTAATTTAAAAGTGGCTAAAACTAAAGAGTTAATTCTTTTATGAAATGAAATGTGCACTTGTCATGCAATTTAAAGACATAAAATCACCAAAATCTAACCAAAAAAACGTATGAAATTTTTGGCAAGGTTCTTGAATCTGCAGAAAAATGAGCAAAAGTTGATCTTAATTGATTTTTGGCTTAATTTATTCATGTGATTTTTATTTTTATATCACCACCTAAAAATTTGGGAAAAGAATTTTTTAAATTTTATTTATTATCAAATCCCATCTACAATAATTATAGTCAAATCTGACCAAAACGTCCAACAAGAATACGTTTTTAACGCGATTCTGGACCAAAAATAATTAAAAATGTAGAAATTGTATCTTAATTTTTATTTTTTTAATGAATTAAATTACAAAAATTCATTGGGAACATTTTTTGTAAGATTTCTGGTGCCGGTTTTTCCAACAATTCAATTATTCCCTTCACAATTGATTATTTTTCTATCTAAACAAAAAAGAAAATATTTAAAAATTGTCTTATATATTTTTTAGTGTGGAAGAAATTTGATGTCTTCTTACATCATCTTTTATTTTCATTTTTTCAAAGCCAAAGGGTTTTCCGATGTTAATTAACAAAATTGACATAATTGCAGGAGCAAAATAATAATTGTCTCAACAACTCAGATTGGTTCAAAAGCAATAAACTCTGTGTTATTTTTGCGCCTAGTTCCTTTTCTTATCCCGAGGCGTTAACCCTGACATCCGCAAGGCAATATCGATTATCCCACAAAACGTTGCTCTCTACACAGGGCGAGACTTTTAACCCCGACTTATCATCCATAAAATCCTAATGGTATATTTAATTTGTATTTTTTTTTTTCAATATTTTTTCATACCGACGAGTTTCCTTTAGATTGACTTGTTACGGAAAAAAACCGAGTCGGCGAGTTGATGTGGAGCATGTTTACGAAATGCTCGCACGTATACAGAGCTAATGGATTAAAGAAGAGAAATTCTAATTGCGTCAGACGGACTTTTGACTCGCACATGTGACGAGAGCGAACTTTTTTCGGCTTCAAATCGAATCAAAGAGCATCACGCGGGAGATTTGGCACCGCTTTTGAACATACGAAATTATAAAAATAGTTTTGGCATCGCCATTGCTTTGTTGTTTCTAGAAGTTGACAAGAAAAAAAGAGCAGCACATGACCGAGTATAAAAGTTTCAGAGTCCCGTGATTTTGAAATTTATTCAAAACTCAGCTTTATTTTCTGTAATGTGGAGCGCGGTCTACTTTCTACGTAGCTTCGTCCAAAAATGGAACAGCTGCGGCACTTCTAATGTGCAGTTGAGATTGTTGGATTTTTATATTTGCCTTTAAAGAAAATAAAAAATTGAATTATTTGATTTTTTTATTAATTTTTTTTTTATTTGGAAAAATTGTTGATATAAATATTTGAAAACTATTGTAATCTTTAATTAATTATTATTTTGAATTGTATTTAATATTGACAAATTTAATAAAATTGTATAGTTAAATTTTTCTTTTACAAATAAAAATAATAATTTAAAGTAAATATTATTGTGGACATTTTTTAGCACTTAATTTTTATTATCTTTCAACAGAAAGCTTATGAGAATAATTTTAATTTTTAGTAACAAATATGATCAAATTTAATGGTTCTTAATTTTATGGCTAATTTTAAGAGTAAAAGTTCTTCTTTGAGAATTTATTATCAAGCATACATTGAAGCTGTTAAAATTTAAAACTTAATGCCGGAAACGTTTAAAAAATATCATACAAACAAGAATTTGATGACCATTTATAAAATTAATCATTATTTTTGTTGCTTATGTAAAAAAAATCAATATCGCTTTGAAACCAAAGAAGTTCAAAATCACTAAAATTTTATTGCAAACTTAAAAACGACAATTGTGGAGTTAATTAAAATTTTCTCAATGAAATTTGTCGTCTTCGTCGTTCGCCAAACCCTTTCCATTATTATTCAAGCTCTTTTGGCGCAGGGCCAAAGGTTATTTTGTGTGTCAGTAGCATCGGCAAAGATCAATTCATGATCGATTTAATTTAAATCCGACCCAGATAATTATCAAATTTTGAATATTATTAATAGTTAAAATTATTAGAGGCTTCCACAAAACGATAATAATTAAAATCTTTTTATTGTTCAAAATCGAATATTTCAAATCACTTATAAAATAATTATGAAAAGAAATTAAGCAAACTTTTAAAAAATCTTTTAATGTTTAATCATCGAAAAATTAGCAAAAATGTTAAAAATTTCTAAATCAGTATTTTGTAAATGTTGAAATGAAAAAGTATTTTGTATGCAATTCCCCGGAGATTTACCGTTTTAGAGTCAGCGGTTGCTGCAAATGTCGCGTGCAATCCAAATTTACTGCGGCTTTCAGGCCCGTTCGTCCCAAATTACCCTCGACGCCCTTTTCGCTCCACGTGCAGAGTCTGCCGGGAAATGTAATTTTTTTCCTCTTTGCGCACGTGCGTGTTTTTTTCGCGCAGAACAAAAGGTGGCCACTCAATTAGAGTAGAAAACCCAGCGAGCACGGCGGCGAGAGTCAGGGTTAGCAAATAAAGAAAGACAATTAAATCCTGCATGCGTCTTTTGTAATTGAATACTCGTCTCGGAAACTTTGATTTTGCCACCGCGGCTCGGGTTGCGCCGTGCAAAGTGGTCTTCGCTAAATATAAACGGCAATTCATTGTTCGCAAACAAGAAGAAGTGCGGATTGATATGGGAAAGAAAACCGCAATTGCACAGAGAAACCGAATGCCGCGCTTCAAGCGATATTTTTGCTGCTTTATTCGCGAGGAAGACGAGCGTAAGTCACTTCTGAGCAGTTCAAAGCTATAAAAATTCAAATATTGTTCAAAACGCCGTAGAAAAAAATGTATTAAATTATAAATTTGAATTATATTTATTACATTAATAATTGAAATATTTAATTTAAAAGAAATTCAAAGTAAAATTTGAAGCTAAAAACCGGTTAAATAATTTCATAATTAAATTAAAAACAAACAAACTGACTTTACACCTTATTAAAGGGGATAGAATTTTGCAGAAAATAAAATTTGCCTAGTTGAGATCCTCATAGATCTTTGTGAAACATTTGAAACGTCTTTTAAAAAATTATTTTCAGACAAAAATTGACTGAGTTATTAACTTTCAAAATCTACTGAACGGCAGCCATCTTTGGAAAACTTTGGAATTTAATATCTCAATCAAATTAGGTCGAAAATCGATTTTCTAATGTATTAATACATTTAATCCTTTCAAAAGAATATCAACTGTGAAGAAAATGTTTCAATTTCTTTATATAATGTTAAAAAATTAAATAAAATTAGTGTTTGTTCATACAATTTTTTTTAATTAACAGTTTGCAAATGACGCAATTTTTCCAAAACAAATCACAGATTCAATTTTTTTTCCAATCACCAAATTTGCATTTAATCCAAATGCAAATTCAATATATTATTTTTCATTCTAAACACAAACTCACACCAACAGGAGTAGTGGGGACCATTTTTTGTGAACAGGAAAGACACAAACGCGCTTTAAACATGTTGAGCATGTAAGTATTTTTTTTTTTTTTTTCATGGAAGCCGAAACCGCACACCGGGAATAACTGGCAATTCACATTTCTTTCCGCAGATACAAAACAAAGGAGAGCCCGTCGTACATACACTTGTGAGTGGCAAACGCAATTCTGCACCCAATTGAATCCTCGTTGACTCTCGAATTACAGCCAATCTAAGATAATCAAACGAATCTCGCAATTAATTATGTGTAATTTCTTCAACAGATTGCAGCCTTGAAAAATTTATTCAACTATTTCACAAGGACCAAAATCAACAAACATTTTTATTTAGAAATATCTTTAAAATAAAATTTTTTAAAAATATTAAACTTTTAATGTATATTTTTAATAACAAAATTCTACAGCTTTCAATAGAACCAAAATGGGCGATTTTTTTTAATATTTTTTATATTTTATAAAATTTTTTCCAAAATTTGTACAAAAACAAATTTAATAAATCGTTGGGAGTTTTATTTGAAAATTATTAATTAATAGGTCTGAAGAGCTAAAACCTTTAATTTCTAAATCATTTTGATAATTGATTTTAAAGTTCCATTTTAATCTTTTAAATGAACTGGAGCAAAATTTAAAAGTTCCAAACACCCTTTTTCTGAAAATGTTAAAAAATTATCCCTATCCATAAAAATTTTAAACATATAAGAAGAATATTTTACAAATTCCGTAGTTTTTTCCTTTCCTACCAAAAAAGCCAGACTTTTTCGATTTCCTTTTACAATTCGTGACAATTCCCTGAATTTTTCGATTACAATTGATTAATTAGAGCTAATTTTGATTTTTTTTTTGTCTGGCAGAATGGCCGCGGAGCGGTGCGGCCTTGGCTCCCTGCTGCCGACAGGGTGCAGGGGCCGCGCCGAGACGTTCGCCCGCCGCCTCTCGAACCGCCTCCGCTCCCTCGGTCACGGCAGCGGCCAGTACGAGGAGGACGCGGATGGCGCGGCCGCGCCCGGTCTTCAGGCCACCGACTCGCCCGAGTTCTGGCAAATGCGACGCACCGGCAGCAAAGAGGCCCTCGTCGTCTCGCCGCCCGACTCCAACAACACCGACAGGTTCTACGACTTTGACGTCGTCGACCAACATTCTGGAGCTTCTAGTCCCACCAATGAGGTCAGCTATTATGTGTTAAAATAATTGTTAAATTATACAATTTTTAAATAATAACGAATAAAAAATAAACCAAGGGAAAAATAATGCCAGTTGGAAAACAATTTTAATAATCTTGTAATTTTTTTTATAAATTATTATTATTAAAACAGTTTAAATCATCCATTTTGCCTTTTTTCAGCTAAACTTGTCAATTAAAAAAAAAAAAACAAGAACTATTTTTAATTTAGTTACTTAAAATTTAAAATTAATTTTTAATTGCAATACATTTATTTATTTATTTGTTAAATTATTAAATAATAAAATTTAAAAATTGATAGATTTATTAATTGTAAAATAGAAATAAGTTTATTTATAATTTTATACAACCATAAAAAATACTATGTATATAAATATTAATAATTAATTTATTAATCCTGCCCATTTTTACCGAAATCGCTTTTTATTTCTTAAATAACTGAAATCAATTATAATTTGATGGTATTGAGATATTTAAAATCATCTTTAATAAAAAAAAAAATGAATTATTCAAATTTATATTTGAAGTAAATATTGTGACATAAACTCAATCAAAAGTAACAAAGAATTGTTATAATAATTCTCGTCCTGTGTTGATTTTTTTTTAAATTTTTATTTTTAATAACAATCAACCCTATCTGTCCGTTTTTCCGCAGGAGGAAATAATCAATGAGTCTGACGGACTAACGACTGAATGCGAGTCAGGATGCGTGCTGGCGTCGCCGACGCAGGCGGACGACGCCGACAGCGAAGAAGACGAGACCTCGGTGTACTTTGAGCCGGCGTGGGGCGAAGTGCTGGCGGACGCGTTCGCCAGTTTGGTGCCGCCGGAAAAGAGACACCAGGAGGTGCTGGTCGGCAGCAGCAAAAAAAGGCAGCCCAAAGAGGAAAAAGAAGCAGAGGAGCAAGAGGCGCCGCTGGACGGCGACATTGCGGAAAGTGCTATCAACGGAAGCAGGGTGGGCTGTGCTGCCGAGGAAGAGGACAAAGAGGAGGACGAAGAGTGCAGATTGCTTGTGAGCCCCGAATGCAATCACGTGCAAGAAGCTGAGCAGGTAATTTTAAAATATATTTGTTCAAAAATGACTGAAATGATTAAGAAACTTTCAATTCATTCGATGTTCTTTTGTTATAAAGAAATAGCAGTTTTTATCATTTTATTTTTTAATAATAATTAAGAAATTAAACAGAAATTTTAATAACTGTTAAAAAATTTGTTAAAAAAAATTATTGCGATGCATTTCAATTGTTTTTAAATATTATCTGTAAAAAAATATTCAAATTTCTTTCTAATTTTTTAAATTTTAAATTATTTATAAATAGTTTTAAAATTTATTTTATAAAAATGGTAAATTTATTGCAATGCATTTCAATTGCTTTTAAAAATAATCTTTTAAATTAAAAATAAAATGGAATACATTATTACAAAAATTCATTGATTTAAATCTTTTTAAAGGAGCTTGAAAATAAATCAAATATTAAATTCAATTACAATATGTAAAGAAAAAAATTGGAATAAAAATAACTTTTTTTAATGCAATTTTTGATAAAAATTTGAATAGAATTTCGTAAGGATATTCTTTTTATTCAACTTAAAATTTAACTTTTCTTCTCTTTAGAACACACCGGAAGAGGGCGAGCTACTAACATCACCTGCCAGTCCAGAAAACCACCACGAAATCTCTGCTGAAGAGCGGGAAATCTTAGAGGAAAAACTGGTGAGAAAACTGGAAGTGATGACCAACAAGAAAGCGGTGGAGAGTCTGTTGCACGAAGAGACCCTAGTGGGCGATTCTTTCAACAGCCCGAAGGTGGTGCTGTCCAGAGCCGAGACCCCCGAAGAGTTGGACAAGGAGTGCACCATTCCCCACGCCTGCCACGACGACACCCTCAACACACCGGACGAGCCCCCCAGACGAGTGCAGCGCTCCTCCAGTTTGAAAACTGGCAAAACCCCTCCCGGTACTCCCGGACGCAAGAAAATCGTCCGGTTCGCGGACGTGCTCGGACTCGACCTGGCCGACGTGCGGACCTTCATGGACGAAATCCCGAAAGTGCCGAGCTGCGCCTACTGGGACCTCCACGACCCCTCCCTCAGCGCCAGACGCGAGGAAGAAGCGCCCAAGGCACCTGAAAAATGTCTCTTCCCAATGTTCCAGCAACCGAGCGGGTGTCCGGATTTCCTGGACAGACTCCGGAGTCAGCGGGTGTGCTTGGAGAACGCCTGTGTTGGCGACACGATGAGCATCACCGGCACCGTCCGGGTGCTCAACATCGAGTTCCACAAGTCCGTCCACGTCCGGTACACCCTGGACAACTGGGACAACTTCGCAGACCTGCAGGCGTCCTATGTGGCTGGATCGTCGGACGGATTTTCGGACAAGTTCTCGTTCATTTTGTACGCCAACACGCTGGACATCGGACAGCGAATCGAGTTCGCCGTGCGGTATACGACGTGCGGGGACGTCCACTGGGACAACAACAACGGCGCCAACTACGCCTTCCAGTGTCTCACGCCGGTCAACACGGACAGCAGCGACTATCTCAGGTCGAACCTCGAAGTGCTGGAGACGCCGCCGCCCCCCGAGGACAGCGGTTGGGCCTCCTTCTACTGATCATTCAAATAAATGTCTCATCATAAAATTTTTGACACCACTCGAATTTGGCTGTCCGGCCTTTGAGGGGCCGGAACATGCTTAAATATACGAACTGAAACGAGGACAAAGGTCACTGCCGATCAAAATGATTAAAAATTACCAGGCAGTGTTGGAAAAAAATGTTCAGATTTGTTAATTAGTTGATTTCAACAGAGCTGTGCTGTGTGTTGAAATTCCTCGAAAAATTTCCCAAAAGCTATCATTGAGTGTTTTAAGGAGCAGCTCAAAGTCTGATTGGATTATTCGCAAAATGTTTTAATGCAATTTGTGTGATACGGTTTTTCTCATCGAGTGCGTGGGCAAAAATGTTGTCGCCACAAAATAGCCGATTTGGTTTTGGCTAAGGTCATGCGCTCGTGATTCTGAGCTGGATCATAGCCAATGAGAGAATTTAGATTGCGGGACCCAGTTCCTAATTGTTTCGTTGACCTTGTTCAGTGCAATATGTTGCTTTTCAAATGGAGAAAATTACACAAAATCAAAATATATATTTCCGTTTAGGATTTTTATCAACGCATTATGTATAACTTATAAAAAATGCAATACACTGCGCGTTTAGGTATTAACATGTCAATGTTCATAATTTTGTAAATGTCTACCCTTTTAAGTGCTTGCGGAAAATTGGATTTGTAAAATATTCGGCGGCAAAAAAGCATGAAAAATATCAATCACAATGATTGGCTGGAAATAATGAAAATTTGTTTGAATTATCTATTAAATTTTAGTGCCACACTGGTAGGACTGATTAAACTCTAAATATCAAACCGCCATAGCGAAAGAAAGTGAACACAAAAGTAATATAAATTGTAATATTTTTATCTGCTACAGAAGGAAAAGCAATGCAGAATATTGTGTATTTTCAAAAATATGATAATTGCTCCCACCAAATAATTTTATCATCTCATACCTCTTTTACAATCAATCCTGTTCAAGTGGTTTTTTTTTTTTGAAACTTGTAATCTCTCTCGTCTCTTTCCTTATTTACAAAGAAACGTTTACTCGTTGTGAAAATAATTTAGTCGAATCAATCAGTGCCATTTTCAGCTCTCTGAGCCCGTGTAAAATTTTATTCAGAGTCGAAACTCAGTGCAATTCACTAATAATTTTGGAATACTTGTTGTAAAAACAAAAAGGTTTTCAACCAAAAAACAGGTTTATTCGCAGGGAAATCTACGCCAAGTTGCACAAAAATGTATAAAAGCAGAACTTGTACCACCGTGTTCTGTTCCATTGTATTACTTCTATACGTCTGTTGAGAAATAAACAATTTAAAAGTTAATCCATAATTTTGATTTCAATTGAAATCTCCCTAAAAATGAAACAAATTTGGTACTTTTTAAAATACAGAATTCAGACAATTTATTCAAAAGAAAATAATTAATAATATTCGTAAGATACATATTTTTGCATCACTAATGATTCCTTCTCAAGAAAAGTAATTGCCAAAAGAGGAACTGACAAAATCATTTAAAATGGTAATCAAACATCCTGGAACTTCTTCTACAAGCTGAATTCAAAAAAATAATCCATCAAAGCCGACCAACACTTTACACTGCCTGTAAATTTGACAGTTCAGCTATTTAGGAATTAAAATAATGAAAGAGGATCTTGATTGCAAGACAAGTAGTACCATGCACTTCAAACTTACACATTAAGTTACTGTAATAATCTGGCTAACTGCTGTACTGACATTGATAATTAATTCTTTTTTGTCGTTTTATAATCGCTGCATTGGCGACCCGACCTGTAGGGCCAATTTGACAGGATAGCCTAAATTTTCGCAATCAACTTAAAAGATAAATGATTTTCAAATGGCGCCGGCAAATCGAGTACAACAAACGCTGCCACAGATTAAAAAGTAATGGCTAAATTACTTTGCGGATTATGTCAGAGGGGATTTAGTCGAGGAAGTGGTTCTTCAAGTACTTCATCATTCCGAATGTGCGGAAACGCTTCACACCTGCGACAATGACGACAAGTAATTAATTAAGTCTTTTTTTTTAATTGAAAAAATATCTCACCAAAAACAGCGAGAAGCTCATCATTGCAGATGGCAAACTGCTTATTCTTCGGGTCCTGTTCAAAATAAAAATTTAAGTAATTTCAAAAAAATATTGTGATGTTTTTTACATAGAGATTCTTTTCTTTGATGATACTCCACATTTTACGGACGACCTCGTGACGGGCCATCTTTTCAGTTCCCATGACTGCGGCCAGTTCAGGAGAAAGGGTGTAAGCCCTGGTGTATCCACCACCACCACCAGTTTTCTTGGCAGCCTTTACAAATTAAATAAGTTAATTTTTGTTTATTGATTTACTTATTTGACTTACGGGTCCAGATTTCTTGTTGGCACTGGCGGCAGCCCGCCTGCTCTTGTTCCAGTCTTCGTCACTGCCATCGTCGCTGTCGCTGCCCTTCTTCTTGCCCTTGGCTTTGGGCTTCTTGCCACCCTTGGCCTTCTTGCCAGGACTGTATTCCTCGTCGCTGGCGTTGTCGTCCGAGGCCTCCTCGCTCTCCTCGTCCGAGCTGGCCTTCTTGGCGCGTTTCGGAGGAGGTTTCTTGGCGGCCGTGCGCTTCTCTTTGCGCTCTTCCTGCTCACTTTCCTCCTCACTCTCCTCCTAAAGTTACACAAATGTTATTATATTTTAATTTAAATTCCATTCGTCTAAAAACTGAAGTGGTTAATTTTTTATTAAATTTACCAAGTTGAATAAATTTGGTTTGATATTCTTTTTTAATAATGAAAAATAACTATTTAACTAAATCAGAATTTTTTTCTGTAAATTCAATTTGCTTATTTTGAACTTGTTTCAAAAGGGTAGTGGAATCAAATCTAGATTTCATCCTGTTTGCAAATTCCCACCTGTTCCTCGCTTTCGTCCTCCTCATCGCTCTTTGACCTCTTCTTGCCGCCCTCCTTCTTTCCCTCCTGTTTCTTCTCCAAACATTCCATGACGAGCTCGTCGATTTCCTTGCGACGCTCGGACAAATCGCAGTCCAGCTTTTCCTCGATCTGCTGCCTCACTTTCTTGGCCGAGGTGGTCGCCAGATCAGCATCCTTCAGGATGGCTAAAAATTAGACAAAATTGTAAATTAATAAAAATGATTAAATGATATGCAAATTAATCAAAATTTCCGCAGAATAAAAAAATCTTTTTTTTTCAAAACCAAAGCGCCGACTTTTTTTAGTCTCCAAAACTATTAATACATAATTTTCTCTATCTAGAATAATATTTTCCTGTGAATCATGGAAAATTCCGTCATTTAAATTCTCAATGAAGAAAAAATTGTTTCGCTTGAAATTAAATTTTTTTTCAACCTTACTATAAATTTAAATTTAGAGGACATTCCAATGCAAACATAAGAAACATTTTTTGATGTATTGACCTTCGTATTGGCCTCATTTCTACGAGTGCAGCCAACTTTTCAAAGTTAAATTTTCCTAAATTTGATGATATCTTAACAATTCCGTTTTTTATGGCATACATTTAAATTTTCAATCAAACAATTTTTTTTTCATTATTTTATATTTCCCATAAATTTCACAAGTCTATTGATTTCTTCTAAATCAATCAAGTCAGAAAAAAAGAAAGTATTTTTTTTAATTGAAATTAAAATTTATTTTAATATTTTTATAAAAGTTGTTTTTCACTTTGCTCATGAATGATTTAACAAAGGCAAACAAAAACATGAAATTAGTTTCATAAAAATCAAATCAAAATCAATCCAAATTTTCCAAAATATTTATAAAAAAAAAAAAAATGAAAAAAATGCCATAATTATTAAAAATAAAATTCAAATATTTTTTTTGAATTTGAAATTATATCCATTTTTTTTTTTATTTTTCATATTAAATCTATATTTAAAGAATAATTTACAAATTAAAAAAAAAAATCTTAATGTTCGAGAAGTGGCGCGACTGGATCTTTCCGATCCGAGCTATTTAATTCAGTCGCAACTTAAGGTCACTGGCAAAAGCCGAAAATCGATATGACACGTCTGAAAATTCGTTCGGGTCGGTCGTGCCCTCCATGGCCGACGACTTGCGGCCGAATTCGGCGTTCGGCGACGGCGCCGAAGTCGGCTTCGGGCCGAAGCGGAGAATCTGCGAAGGTGCGCGCGACTTGCAATGCGTGTTTTAACATGGTCGCTAGCCTCTCTATACAGGCTCGTCCGTCTGAATAACGTCGATCGGCGCCCGAAAAGCGCCGAATTCGGCCGTCGGGGGCGGGCACGGCCCGCCGACGCCGGCCATCTCGGCTGCTGATTTTGGGCCCGATTTTTCGGCGCCGGCCGTTTGCCGACTTGACGATCGAATTCGGGGACATGTCTGATGGGCAGGCGGCCGGCGCAAATGGCAAAGCGTCTCCTGCTCTGCTGTGGCCATTACGGGACGAAATTTACCAAGTCCCCCACCTCGGCTCAAGAGTGAAAACCGCTTTTTTCCCATGGCGAGTGCCGCATTTTGCGGCGCCGATCGACGCCGCCGCCTTTTGCCGACCCATTTCGACGAAATTCGGCCGATCGGCCGACGCCTGGAAGCGAGCACAGCTATTTACCGGCAATTTCCTTGCGGAGAGCGTCTTTCGTGATGTCTGCCATCTTGAACGTATTTGAATGAATCGAGTACCGACCAGTGACGCCGCCGTCGCATTGGCAGCACTGACGCCGACAGCCAATCACAACGCGGGATTCCCGTTTGAACGGAAAAGGCGCCATTGCAACGTGCAAAAGACGTTGCAGGACCAATGCTTGTTGCTTTTTTTATGATGCAGACACAGCAGCTGTGTAAAATCCTCCAGCTGCATAGCTTGGTATGCGATGAATGCTCACGTGTGATCCAGATTCTGACAGCATCGCCATGAAATTGTTCAAATAAAGTACAAGAATTTTTAGTTTTGGGCTATTGTAAATGATTGGAAATTATTTTTGTTTCTTATTTTTTAAGAAATTGATCACGCCAAGAATTTCTTTAGGGAGATTGGCGATAATTCTAAAATGAATTTGAAAATTTTCAACAAAATTTTTTTATGAGATGTTGACAAAATTTGAAGTCAGGCTTCCTCGTAAAAATTTATTCAAAAACAAAACGGCACTACCAGTTTTGTTCACGTTCTGCGATTCTTTTTCATTACTTCATTAGCAAGAAAATTTAAAAAAAAAAAATCAAATTTTAATTTGAATAATGTTAGATTTAAGATTTTTTTTATTCTGGTTTTTGCAGTTTTTGTTGATTTTTAATTTTTTTTTCTTGCTCATGAAATAGGATCGCAGACCGTCTCTGAAACTGGTAGAGCCATTTTGCTTTTGAATAAAAACGAATTTTTACGACGAGGAGGAAAGACCGAAATCTTCACTTCAATTTCTTCAAACAAAGTTGATAAAATTGTTTTTTTATTTTTGTAATTGGGTCATTTTGACGTCAGAAATTTAAACAAATTTCTTGCTAGTGGTGGTGCCGTTTTGCAAACAATTCCTCTCTTTCCAAATAACTATTTTCAACAATTAATGTTAACAATGTCATTTGAAATTTTGAACAAATAAACAACAATAATAAAAAATTCAAACTGCTAAAATTGAAGAGATTTCCGCGGAAGTAGAAATTTCATTTTAAATATCCAAAGTATTTAATAAACTATAAACTCTATTTAAAAACTTGCTGCTGAAAAGTTTCTTTAATAATTTTTTACTTGCGTAAAAACTTAGAAATATATTTCATTAAAACTTCTGCGCTGTAAATATTTTTGAAATAAACAAACTTTTATTTTTCAGTTACTTTTTTCAAATTAATATTTTATTCTTACTTCACATTGATTTCAATCATAAAACAGAAGCAACAGGCTGAAAACACTGAAAAAAATCAGTTATTGTCAACAAACTTCATCTCTGCAGCTTTTGTGCATTTAAGCTGCAAATAAAACAAAATGTATTTCAAAATATTTCATTCAAATGTGCCAACTCTGTCAAAGAGTCTTAATCCTTACAGTTTTTGCTTTTAATTTGTTTTAATTTGCCAACATTGATCAATTTTAATACATTTGACATTTAGATTTTCCTTTCTTGTAACAATTTACAACAGCATATTTTTTTATTTGCCTTCCAGTAGCATTTCCTTTACTAACATTCAACGATATGGAATGAGTACATAGTTTCCATCAACAATCCCCCGATTCATTTTATTCTCAGCCGCCTGGGCATCTTCTGAGTATTTAATGGCAAATACAAGAGAAGTTAAAAATCAGGGAAAAATATCTTTTTGGAGAAAAGCGTTTGTGCAGATATACATGTAAATATGTAAGGAAGACGATTTTCTGTGTGCAATTAATAAATAAATTTCTTTTGTAGAGATTAACAAAAATTTAAAAGGAAAATTAAAAGAAGAACACTTATTTTGTATTTTATTTTTCAAAATATAAATTCCAAGCTGTAGCTCATTTTTATGTCTTTCTTTATTCTAAATTCTGGGTCCACTTTATCCGAAACTATTTACAATCTAGCATTGCTTTTATTGTCGTGAGTCCACGATTCATACTTCGGCAACTTCCGACCATCTCATTTTCCTGTATATGATAATATTGAGTTTGTTCGGATAAAGCGGCGCCCCAGAATAAAATATTCACACTGCTTTTTTTCCTTACTTAAACGCGAGAACAACAACGATTGATTACGTGTCTTGTCCACTTACTATTATTATTTTGTTGCTGGATATAATTATCACATTTGCGTGACAACACGATTAATGGATAATGCACCTGTCCGAGAGTAAAATGTGTGATCGGTGGTCCCCGCGACCAACGGAATGCATTCGTTTGTTCCGAAATGCTCGCAAATAATAATAAAAAAAAAAAAAACTATGCAGCTGAATGTTATTGTCTTTCTGAGAGAAAAAAGATAGTGAGCATCAGCTGATAATTTTCAAATCTAAAAAATATATATTCATCAAATTGAAAATATGGAATGCGTCTATAGAAATCACTAAATTTGCAACATAATTTTAGTCCAGCTAAAATATAAAAATACCTTCATTGCAGACATTCGAACAAGCAGCGCAAACAATTATATCAGCATTTTTCCAGGGCCGAATCCCTGAGAGAGGATTATTAATTAATTCCTCCTCTATAAATTCTAGCTGATTTGACGAATTGTGATTCGATTTGGATGCAACTCGCTGCGGAATGTGTGATGATATACAGGTGATGAGTAATGGCAGTATAATTTTGGTGGGCCGCTCTCGTTTTTAATTCCTCCTTTGCTTACACCTGGGCCTTCCTGTCAGGGCCCACCACGAACAACACCTTTTGGAGCACCCTAGTTGCTGCTGCTGCAATTTTGAACAATTTATTAGCACGACAAAGAGAGAAAATGATTTGATTAGTGCAAATTGAAAGTGACCAAAGTAGGCAACCAGCGCAATTTCTGTGCCGCGCAGGTTGCCTATATTATGCTAAAAGTGCTTTTATTTGATTAAAAGCGCCTCATCAGCAAGTTATTTTGATGACAAATTTTATATTCTGTTTAAATTATCATTTTTAGAGGTCATTTCCCTAGAGAAATCAAGGGATAGCATTGATTTAATAAAAAAAATCAAACCATCTTTATATTGGAAACATTTATAAAATGCTTTTTTTAATCTGCATTAATTAATTGATGAAAAAAAAACTTTAAGGCTAGCTTGAAATTTTTAAGAAAACTTGTGTCTGATGAGACCTCTAAAGAAAATGCAAAAAGTTACAAAGTGATTTATTTTTTTACGGATATCTGAAAAGTGGAGAACGATGTTAAGGTCAGAGCCGAAAGCAAAGTAGGGTGCTGCGTGAAAGCGTTTTGGTTTTACAAGATAATCATGCATTGCGCGTAAATGAGAAAAGTAGTGCAAAGAGCATGCCCTTAAACCTATATGTTTATTGACCTTGTCGTCGGACGCACAACCATCATTAGCTTTTGCAACCACTTGGTAGCTCCATCTGAAATAAAACCATAAGCCACTGCCAACGAGGGTGCAAACTTAAAATTATTGGGGGAAAGTCCAGAAAATTGTAAGATTTAAATTAATCGTTTTGGATTTTGAACACAGTGGGAAAAAATTGTTTTGAAAAGCTGCTTGAACTCCATGCAAAACCATTAGCGAGATTAAAATAGCGTTTCCGACACTTACCGAAAAGGTTTCTCACAAATTTGGGCTTGCTCTTCCACGCTATAAACACCAGGTAAACAGGCACGCTGGTCAAAATCATGAGACAGCCGTAACCTGAGAAAATAAATTCAAAAGTTTGATTAAAATATTAATAAATTTACAATGGTTCATTTACTTAATTGTAATTTTTTTTATCAATTTAATTTGGAAAAAAATGAGATATTCTTTTTAACTTTTGCTAAATTAATTTTAGCTAGAAATGATTAATATCTTTATTTTGCTAGATAAAAAATTTACCTGTTTCTACTGGACTAGCAATCATGGGCACAACAGTAACGAAAATGCTGCAGATGATGTAGAAGAAAGGGAAGAAAAGGTTCACTTTCAGGGGTCGAGGCAGGTTCGGTTGGGTGTAGCGAAGAACTGGCAGGCACAGCACAGCGACTCCTATGCTCAACTTCGGGAATAAAAACACAAATTTACTCAAATTTTATTGATATTTTAAAAAAACTTACCCAGGTGGCGAATCCGACGTAGTTGATCAAGGCAAAGATGTCTGACACGCAGAGATACAACAGTGACAGGAGTGCCTTTTTTTAAATTTATTAGTTTAAAAAAATTTTATATTTTTTTTTTAAACTTACGACTGTGAGGACAGCAGGAGCTGGGGTGAGTCTGTTGATTTGAATCATGGTCAGGATTTCGGGCATTTGTCCTTCGCTCGCACCAGCATAAAAGAGTCTAAAAATTTTAAATTAATTATTTTGATTTAAAAATGGTTGAATTAATTACCGGGAGGAGGTGAGGAGAACTCCATTGACGGCACCAAATGTAGACATGGCCACAAAAACGGGAATGATCCACGCCATGTATCCGTAGAGACGATTGGCAAAAGTCTAAAAAAAAATATTTAATTAATATAAAAAAATCCAAAATTTGTTGATTTGGGGAAACAAAAGAATTTGGTGAAAATTTAAATCAATTAAATACAAATAAAGATTTTAGAGGTTTTTTTTATAAATTTTATTCCTAATTTCATTATTAAAAAAACCATACGGGGTTGATTATTTAAATTTATCTAGGTTCAGATTAAAAACTATTTTGTTCTTATTAACATTTATATTGAATGATAATGAGTTGTTGGTTGGAAATATTTAGGCTTACCACAGCCACAGCTTCGGAACCGAGGATTTCCACCGGTGATAGAGTGGTGAAGAAAGCAACATTAGCCAGGACATAGACAACAGTGACCAGAGTACAGGAAATGGCAATGGCTTTCGGGAGATTACGAACGGGGTCTTTCAGCTCTTCAATGATGAAATTTAGGTAGTTCCTGTCGGTGGAAAATTAGATTTACAATTAGTTCGGCAGAAAAAATCTATTAATTAACAAAAAAAAGGGCTCTAAATAAGTCGTCTTATCAATAACGAAAAAAAAATACAGCAGTGTAATGACCTCTCTGGAGGTCTCATTAAATGGGGCTTAACTGGTTGGAGGATGTTATTGAAGAAAATCTGTGCCAAGCAATTTAAATCCTTTTGTTGTGCAAAAAATACATCAAAGATAATAAAACGAAATGAGCAGGACGTATTTTATTTTGAAATTCTTAAAATTTTGAAATAATCCTTATTTTTCCTTGCATTGGTTTTCGTTATCATGACAACTTCCTCTAAAACAACTCCGACCTTGATTTAGACTTTATTTACGTTTTTGCCTCGATCATTTTAGTCTCCGACAAAATAAAAAAATGAAAAGAAAAATTGAAACAAAAGTATTAAATTATCATTTTAATTTAAAAAGAATTACTTTATTGCATTAAAGTATTTTTATTTTCATTTGAACTTCAGTCAATCTGATTAAAAATATATCAGACTAAATACAACTTCTTTTTTAATATTTCATCAATTAATTATTTTTTATTTTCACATGAAAAAAATTTACTTTGGAATGAAAGTTTTTTGTGATTATCAAATTTTTGAAAAGAACTTCAATAAAAAGTCCTTAATTTTATTTTACTCTAATAGAATTTAACGCTTTATGATTTTCCATACAGTTTTCCAACTAAAAATTGCGCTTTCAAAATTCCTTTTTTTTTAACAGAAGCCGCGTCTTTAGAGATTTTAAAATTCTCAATTTCAACATTTCAAGTTGGAACAAGTTGAGCAAGAATTTAAAATTTAAATGAAGATTTCGCCCTTTAACTTCTGATTATCCTGTTTCGTCTCATAATGTGCTCACGAAAGAGACCTTGGCAATGACTGCGTGAGCGACGAATCGCATCACTGACTGCGCTCATGAGAATGCAAATCTGGCGGTCCATGCGATCATTACCCACACAGTGGGCTCGTTTTGCAATAATCAAGACGGTAATTTACGGACAAGTCGCTTTGTCGTGCTCACCGGTCTTTTGGACGAGAATTTAAGCAAGGCACAAGATTTTTTCTCACTCTTTATATGGAAATAAATTATTCGCAACTGAAATAATTCTGCAATAAAATATTATTTCTTATGCAAATATTTTTTTTAAATAATCTCTACCTTTTTTTATTAAAATAATAAAAATTCATTAATGAATGTTTTTTAATAAAAAATATTAAAAAATTTAATATTTGGTGAGATAAATTAATTAAATTTATTTTAATTGGCACACTTTCTTAATTGATAAACCTTTTATTTTTCTTGAAACTAAATCTTGTGAAAACATTTAGGAAGTTGAAAAAACTCACCATCCGTTGTATGCAAAAAGACCGGAATAAAATGATAAGGCTATTTCCGTCACGTCCGTTTTCGTATTCTCAAAGGTGAAGTGCTCCGTGTGTCCTGCAACAAACAAGGAAAACAAATCAATCAGAAACAAAAAACCTTTGGGAGTTTCCACGATTTTTTTCCTTGTGGCTAAAAGGAAGTGGGAATTCGATCAAGGCAGAATAATTGCGAGAGCAACCCTGTTTTTCCCCTTCAGGACGTCGCGGTGATTTGCTCGAGTGCAAATGATTTTTTCCGGCTGGCAAGAATAAAAAAATAAGGAAATAATGGTCTTTTTCCTGACAAAAGAGTACGTGAGTGGCCAGTCGACGGTGAAAAAGCCTACTCGAGCGTCAACTTCGATTTATACTCACAGGTGAAAGAAAAAAAGAAGAAAATCGTGCGCTAAAAGCATATTATACACGTCACATCAACATTGAAGGTCGTGCAACCAGAAAGAAGGTTCAAATTACAGCCTAACTTAGAATATAAAAATATAGAATTGAAATTTGTATTAATTTAAATTAAAGAGAGATTGGCAATAATTATGCTGTAATTTTATTAATCACAAAATCACCAATCATTTTGATAATTAAAAAATTTTTATTTAAAAATTTAAAAAGCTGAAACCGGGTGGAATTTCGGTGCAAAGAAAAAAAATGAAAAAATAGAGGACATCTGACCACAAAAAGCGACCTGCGATCTGCTGGTACTTTTGTCGTGTTCAAAAGTTCAAACTTAAGTATGGGAGGAATTTATAAAAAATTGAAAATAAAATTTGAATAATTTAATAAACAAAAACGCAGAAATTAATTGAGAAACTGATTAAGTCAATAGCTTCATACGAAATTTCACGAATTTCACCCGGTTTCAATTTTTCATAAAATCCTTCTCAAGTATGTTATCATTCAATTTCAAAAGCTGTTGACTTTTAATTTATTTGTCATTATCAAAGGTTTAGTTCTGTTTCAATTTATTTCTATCAAAAATTTATTAGCAAAGAATTCTGTGATCAATTTGTCTTGAGTATTTTAATGAAAGATGAGAAAAAAGCTCGGCTTCTTACACAATTTGTGTTTTATATTTCAAATTTCAAAACTTCAAAGCAACTCTTCAGTTCTTATTTCACCATGATTTATATTTAAAGTCTGTTTAGAATATTTCACAAAAAATTGATAAAAATGTTTTTGAAGAATTTGAAATTTTTCTTTAATTAACTTCGGATTTAAATAGTTTTATATCGATTTATATCTAATTGATGTAATAAAAGTCTGGGGATAATTTATTAGGCTTAGAGGGCAGTCTCCTGTCAAAAGTAATTTCCTCTCACTTTCGTTCAAGTGCACGCTAAGTATATATTTTATGTATAACGTGCTCCGGTTGCAATGTACCCGCTCGAGCGAGTCAATAAATTTAACTCGCGTGTTACACCTGTTGAAAGGTAACACACAATCTCAGTCAGTCTTTTTTTTCAACAATTGCTTTCTATATAATTATCGAAAGGGGAAACGCAAATAATGTGCCGGTTGCATCAGAATTTCGCGAATTCGCCGCTTCTTTTGTCAGAGATTTAATTACTTGTGGTTTGTGTGTGTGTTGAGTGCAATCGGAGCGACTAGACAGAAGGAAATGGACCTCGCGAAGAAACCCCGCCGGGAAGCCGGAGCTTTAATTGGAAATGCGAGAATCAGCCGGCGGCTCCTTCGCTTCTCGCAAAACAGTCTTTTGACACTTTTTAAATTGAATTTCAACGCAGGCGAAATTCTCCTGCTTATATTTGCAGAGCCTTCTTTATATTGTTGACGGAGGAAAAATCTGCTTACCCAAGTAGAGTTGGTAAAGGCCGGTGCCGATGATAATGAAGAGGGCAAATAGTTTGGCATAGGTGAAGTAATCCTGGACCATGGTGGCCCATTTGACCTCGTAGCAGTTGACGAATGTCAGCAACACTGTAAACAAAAACAAACCAAATTGGTAAGATGAATTGATCATTAATATATTGATGCAAACCAAAAACAGTGGAATTAGATAAAAAATTTGTTTTAAATTATGTAAAAAATGTGCAAAATATGAAATTACCAAGAAAATTAATAAAAAAATAATTTTGAATTTATTATATTGTGTTCCAAATATTTCAAAAATTGATCTTTGCTCTTTGAAAACTGTTTTAGAAAGAATAATTTATAAAATTTTTTAGTTAAATTTGGTTAATTATTGTCCCTTTTCCTTTTTTATTTGAGCAGCTCTTAAATTTAAATTATTTTTTATTGATTTTATATTTTATCGAATTATTATTTTCTGCCTAATTTTAGTGGAAGCAAAAACTCTCTTATTGGAAGTCAACAAAGTGCTACTCTTGCTTTTGGGGGCTCGTCTCGCCAATCGAATAATGAACACGCCAGGCTACTCTGATAATCTCTGCACGGCTTTCGTATGGAAAAACATTTTTAAAAGCCGCGGCGCGAGAGTCGAGCCCACCATAAAAACGAACCAAGGTGACCTCGAGACACGAGGAGCGCAGATCGACGAGAGACCAGTTTGATTGTACATTTATTATATGTGTGCTTTTTGCGAGAGCGCGTCACGAAATTCCATAATTCGCCTTCCGAGATTTGTGACCAATTAGCGACAATTGCCCGTCTGACCCCACAACCGCGACTTTTATATTCAATCAGCTCGGCGACGAGCCATCGACAGGTCACATACATACGCCGACCTGACACTTTGGCCAAGAAAGACTCTTGAGAATCAAAATATTTCAAGTAAGAAAAAATATATAAAATTTTGAAAGATCTCTGCTTAATATTAATGCCCAAATTTTTTTTTTGGCAATTTATTTTTGACTGAAATATTTCAAAATTTATTAACTACAAAATTATCAGAACGTTTTTTTTTAAACATTTTTGCTCATAACTTTATAAGTTTTAAGCAAAGATCTGTAAACAAAATTGATTATATTTTATAAGTTTCCAGAATCTTTATTAAAATTGATATAAAAATTTGAAATTTTATGCTTTACATTCAATGAAAGATGCGGAAAAGTGAATGTTTATTGCTGCTTATATAATTTATCGTTCTTTAAATAACTAATTACGAGTGAAAAATACGTAATTCAACACCTGTTTGAAGTTTGATGTGTAATAATTATTCATTGAAACGTACGTTAATGAGAGAGGTGTGTATTTTTCAATCTCCTGCGAAGCAGATCAGTGTCAGCTGACTTAACCCAATACATTTTATTAGCTACGCAGATATAGAGAGGTGTATTAAAAGCTGGCTTATTAATGTCGGCTAATTATAATTAGATATTTTTATATAAACTCATCTGTTTTGAAAAATTTATTGATTAAATAGGAAAATTCCATTTTTAGGAATTTTTTTTATAATTATTAAACGCACCAAAAGATTATCCGATTGTAAGATCCAATCTTCGGCGGGACTAAAAAAATCTGATAATTTTTTTAATAAAGATGGAGCAATTTAATGTTTTTTTGTTTTTTTTTCTATCCTGATATGGTTTTATTTAATTTTTGAAACTAAATTAATTTCATCAAAATATTAGTTGAAAAACTAGAAGGACTATAACAAAAATTTGTCACAAGTCAAAGACGCTTTTTAATTTCGAAATGAATTGATTACATTTTTCAATTAATAATAATTTAATAAAAGAGAAAATAAACTTAATTTTTTTCATACAATTGATACAATTTATTCTGAAAATTTTTACTGGTTTCCATTTGGAATTATCAATTCAATGACCATAAAAGTTTTCATTTCTCTCTCCACGCTTCGACGTATCCGCCGGAAGGTAAAATATAAAATCTACACCAGTCGCTATACTTTTTCTTTCTTTATGCAACGAGGGAAAACCTCTTCGTATTGCGCACGTGCTCGGCTGGAAATTACGCACTACACTCTGCTTATGGATCCATAAACTTCCCATTCAGAGGGTTGTTCGGGGGTGTCTCGAGAGTAGGCAATCGATTCCTACCCTCGCCCGCCACGTGACGTCACAAATTGCATAGTGATATGCGGGGGTGGCGACGACAGTGACGTCACCACATTATATTCGATTTTTTAACTGCGCGCCGCTTTTGACATAATACAGGGGATCGGGGACGTCAAAAAGGCGATTTGTTTATCGAAAATCACACCGCATGAATCGTCAATTATTCACTAACCTTTAAGCCTGAATAACTTTGAGCGTTAGTTAGAAATTTAAAATCAACAATTAATTGGAAATTTTTAATTTAATTATAGTTTTAGCAAAATTCTTGCTAGTGGTGGTGCCGTTTTGTCCAATAATTCCTTTCTTTTCAAAAAATTTTTTTCTTCAATTGCATGTAAACAATGCGATGTAACAATATGGACAAAAAAACAACAATGATATTAAAACATAAGTATGATTTAATACATATTATTTTAAAATTTGAGAGAAAATATGTTCTTTTTTTTAAGATTTTACGAAATTAAATAATATGTAAATTTTTAAATTATTCATTTATCATTTTGAATTTTTAAATTGAAATAAATTTTTAATTGTTGTATGTACAAGTAAACTTAATGTAATTTTTAAATTTAAAAAAGGAAAAACTTTAAATATTCATCTCAAATTATTTATATTGAGAGCTGACATGACTTTTAATGAAAGTAGAATTTAAAAATGGCAAAATATGAATATATATAATTATAGAGTTGTTCCCCTTCCATTTTCCTGAACCGCCCTAGAACGTTATTATTACCAAGCTTGAGCTGCACGCAACTCTTCTCCTTCACGAAAACTCAAAACAATGGCATGGGGAATATTTTTCCTTTTTTGCTCCATCGAAACCCTGCCATTAATTTATCAAAATTACATACAGCGAATAACCCAAAATATTTCTTTACATCGCAGACAGCAAATATAGCTAAATTTTTTTGTATCATTCCATCCAAGGTTAAATCAATCACCCAATTAGTGAAATTAAAACAGAGTCCAATTTGTTAAATAACTTTAGATCAAACTAAATTGTTTTTAATTCAGTTTATTAAATTTTTTCTCTTTCTAGTTAAAAATCAAGCAAAACTAAGAAGATTCATTTTTAATTAGGTCAAAAAGTGTTTATTGTTTGTCCTGTCGAGTCGAGAAGATGGATGATGAGACCATTAAATGTATTAAATGAATTGGCCGCTGTGAAAAGTGACCCCGGCGTGCACACCCATTTCATTCATTAGCACTAACTCGATCAACAAAAGCGAATTCGGCGCCCTTTCACATCCTCTAAAAAAAAATCATTTTCCTATTGCATCAGATGACGAGTAGCTTAGGGAGTGACCCATAATTGCACGGGTCCTTTGTCGCTCAAAATAAACTCTCTGCCGAGACGTTCAAATTGCCGATTAAAGTGGGCACACGCTCAGTGAGTGCCACATAGTGTGGGAAGAGATGGAGAAATTCGATATCTTACATAATTGGACCGGAAGTTGAGCGTTAATAAATTTTATCCATAAAAAAATTAAGGTTTGCAAGATAGTATTTGATTTTACAATCAAATTTACATAAATTTTTAACAATTGATGCTTAAATTTCATAGAATAATATTTTTGGAAATTTGGTAGTTTTCTATATCAAAAGCATTTTAAGTAATTCAAATTGGGCGTTTTATGAAATCCTTATTCTTAAAGATCCTCTCCGGTCAAGTGTATTGCTCTCTATTCTGAAAGATTGCTAAATTTCGAGTATATCTTGTGAAAACACTATTTGAAAATTCCAAACCGTTGCGTCTTGATCAAAAGAAAACCTAAATTCGAGTGATTCGCGCGAAAAACGTGTGAGAATTGAGAAGCCAATCAGATCCATCAGTTTGTTACAAAAACTACAGAATTTGGTCACATTAGCGCTGCGATCGCTGTTTTTTCCACTTGTGCCCCACGGCGCAGATAACTTGGCAAAATCAGCGATCGCAGCGCCAATGTGACCGAATTCTGTAGTTTTTGTACAAAACTGATGGATCTGATTGGCTGCTCAATTCTCACACGTTTTTCGCGCGAATCTCTCGTATTTAGGTTTTCTTTTGATTGAGATTTAGGTTTGGAATTTTCAAATTTCAAATAGTGTTTTCACAAGATATACTCGAAATTTAGCAATCTTTCAGAATAGAGACCAATACACTTGACCGGAGAGGATCTTTAAGTTGCTAAATTTAAAATTTATTATTTAAAAAAACAGTAAAGTAGAATAAAAATTTGAATTTAAAGAATATAATTATATGAAAAATTAAGTTTAAAAAATTGTCCAAAAGCCTTTTTAAGTACAGAAATATTTATTATTATTTTTATAGAGGTGTGTCTTTAAATAAGAAAATTGTTAACCAGTAAAACTATAAATCCATCACTTTTAACAAAACTCCCTCAACCTAGCTCTATGGCCATTTTTAATAGTTGTTTTGCCCCAACAATATAAGTGTAAAATAGGACTGCTCCTCTCTCTCGCACGGTTAAAAACTATTAAACCCGATTTTAATGCCCATTTATTTTATGGCTGTTTACAAGCGATCGTGCAAACACAAAGTCGGAAAACGCCCAAGCAGAAAGATTTATTCGCGTAAACAAAATCTTCCTTTCAATTCTCCGCCGCTCATTAGGATTCACTTTTCTCCAGACAGGCGCGTTTAATTTTTTTCTGCATATTTCTGTCAGCGCCAAAATGGGCACGTCACGTTTTCTAAAAAAAAAAAGATGCAGAATAAAAATCGAGAAATCAAGGTCCGCGAACTTTCGAAGGTCCCGCGACGTGTGTAATTTTGCTTTTGGCACCTTCACGCTCGGGCTGCATTTTTACCTCGCGTGTGTCTCGCGGCTCTCGACGGGCGGTTTAATTTTCGGTACCGAGATAATTTGCATATTATATTGGTACGTTTGTTAAAAGGCAATTTGCAGGTGTAATTAACAAACGGAATAAAATTTACTGTTAATTTGCTTAAGAAGCAACTAACAATTAAGACAAGCAGAAACCTTAAAATTTTGATTTTTATCAGAAAAACCGGTAATATTAAAAAAAGGGGTCAAAATTAACCAAAAAGATTGAATTTTGTGCTAAATTTTCTTCTGAAGTCGATTTTCTAATTTGGAACTTTCAATATTTGAGTCTTTCATATAAAACAAAAAGTGCTGAAGTTTTCAAACTCGATCCGCAGCGGTCACGGCTCTGCCCGCAAACATCGATTATATCGAGATAACCAGCTCAGCGAGAAGTTAACGACGGAGATAATGATGGGTTTGAAAAACGCATAAAACCAACATCATTATCCATACCTGCAATTACATGGAAATCATATTCGCAATTGCGGCCTCCATCAACTTTTGAAAAATTGAATATTTTTAGACCTCGATAGCAACTTGATTTGCATATTATAAATATAATTGGTGATGAAATTTACTAAGTAAAAATACTAATTTTATTGCTTTTCCTGTAATATTAATAAAATAAACAAGGATTTGTCGGATTTATTTGCTTTGTCGTCAGTTTCTATTTGTCCAGCTTTTATTTGCATCTGTTTGATCGTCTCTCTGCAAATAAATCACCCAATTTGGCGCCACCCTTGCTCAATTTGTACCGACGGATTCGGTGAAAAAAGCAACGGAACCAGTTTTATTGACGTAAAAATAGCGCCGTCCAGTTCTCGGTCGACGAAGGAAATTCGAATTTCATTACATTATTCCGGTGCAGCATGTATCGTGTCACGAACTTTCCGAGAAGCAAAGTGCGCTCTGGATTTCCTTGATTTTATCTTTCAGTGTTGTCTCTTTTCAAAGTTCGTATATTTAAAATTCTGTTGACCGCAAGCCGGAGGTGGTTCAAAGCGGTTAACGCTCTGTAAATATGTTTGTTCACAATTGGAGAGTTTAAATAAAATAGAGTGTAAACTGATTTAATAGATAAAAAAAAATTCAGTAAACTGTGCAATTTTTTGAACAGAATTATTGAAATGAAATAAAAAAAATTGAACAATTTGATTTATAAATTTGATATGAAAATAAATATGAAGAGATAATTTCAGTGAAGTAAAATTTAAAGTTTTAAATATTTAAATTTTAAAATTAGTAATTTTAAGCAATTTAATTTATTTGTTATAAAATAAATTAAAATATAACAATTAAAATATTACTTTTATTCAATTTTATAAATTTAAATAAAGTTTGAAATAATAAGATACAAGTTTATTTCAAATTTATTCAAACCGAGTTGAAATTTCAACAAAAATTTTTATAGATTTTATGGATTTTATCATACGAAATTTAGAGATTTTTAAGCGTCCATAAGTATCTAGCAAATATTTAAACGAACCACGTGTGCGTTTTTTTTTATGCAAATCCACTCGCGAGAGAAGACATTTAAAACTTTTCTAAGCACGTCCCTTCCCCTTATTCTCTGTTCACACAAAACAAAAAGGTCCTTTCAAAACTGCAGCGACGGTTACGGTTGGCGAAAAACCAGTTTGGCGGTGCAGCGTGTATTTTTTTTTTTAGCATACCAAAAGTTTTCCATTTGCAAAAAATCCCATAGATCACGAACTTGTTGTTTCTTTTAACGCACAAATAAAAATTTTACTAGATGCAGAGATTGCGCCACGGCCACGTGCTTGGTTTGCCTAGAATCTATCAAAAGGTGGTTTTTTTTTGTTCCCTCCTCGGCATTTGAATATCGAGTTTCTATCTCACGACGGATGGGACGAGGGAAACTCAAACCCTTTGGAATTTCTGTTGCAAAAAAAGCTTTAGAGATTTTTATTTGACCAACAAATGATTCTTGCCAAAAAAGGAAATAATGAAGAAATACTGAAGAAAATTAAAAATTTGTATATTTTAGTAGCAATTTTTAAAAGTGTTTTGGTTTGATGAAAAAATATATAGATTCAAAATTAATTTCCGTAATAATTTTATGTGAATTATAATTAGAATTCGCAGAGTTTCAAGAAAAATAAAATGTATTTTGTTTTAATCGTTTTAATGTCATAAATCAAAGCGAGTAGAAAATCAAAATTTGACTATGAAAATTTCATTTGTACAAATTGTTTGAATGATTTGAATAATTTTCCAATAGAAAAAGATAAAATTGTTTTGATCGAAAATGAGAAAGAAACGACTTTGTTAAAACATCTGAGATCAATTGTGATTGCGCGAAAAATGTTTAAATTTCTTTTGCACGTAGATTGAAATTTTCTTTTGTTCTTTGCTTGTCCTTTTCGTCTTTTCTGCGCAGTTTAAATATTAATTCTGCAGCCTTCTCAGCATTTTAAGCTCCAAATCAATATTTCCGTCTGTCTATTGTACGCATTTCTTACACTTCAGACTTTTGATTTTAAAAGAATTTTTATATTTTAATTATCCAGTCACGTCCACAAAACGCTTCCATTTGTTAACTAACAATAAAATTCCTCACTCTCCACGTAATTAAAATTTGCCACACGTGCGCTTGTAAAAGTAAATAATTCATTTTATCACGACTTCTGTCAAAAATGTCGCTTTTCAACTCTCGACAATTTTTACCTCTAAAAACAATTATAAATTTAATACAATGTTTGCTTTTTTAACTGGGAAATAAAACGAGTTTGTGATGATGAAAATCTCGTATTTTTCGCAAATCAAAAAGCGGGCGCGACTGGGAGTGACTCACGTGTGGGTTTTCAAATCTGTGATGCGAAAAGTTCCAGGAAATTAGCAGGGGCGGAGCACCATTGTGTCCAAAACAAAACAAAGCCGGCACACAAACCTCCGCAACCAACAATCATTATAATGTTAGTCAAAAGTCTAGCGCAAAATTTATTTTATAAATTCCACCTGGAAATTTCTTTGTGAAGAAATAAGATGAAATTAATAGCCTTAAAATAAGATTTTATTCTAAATTTTGAAGAATTTCTTTAAAATTAGGGGTTTTTTGAAAGAAAGAAAAAAACGATAAATTGTAAATATCTTTAATTATCTTAAAATACTTTTAATTCTGAACGAAAATCTACTCTTGGTCTTTATTTTGCGAATTTAATTTGTTCAAGGGATGTGATTTTTTATTTTATTTTCAGTTTAAATTAAAAAAATTTTGTATATTTTTGTCCAAGTAGGAGCATTTCAGAACGAAACAATTTTCCTGATTATTCTTATTTTGAAATTTGAATGCAGAATAAATAAATCTACAAATAAATAAATAAAAAATAAATAAATAAGAGACAAAATTTGAAAGAAATGTTTTTTTTTTGTTTTTTAATTTTTTTCTTCAAAATTTCTGAATTTTTCACGTCAAATACTTCAAGATTTTCACTCTAGTAATTTCTGACCAACAAATTATTTGATAAATTAAAAAGTAATAAAAGAGTCAGAGATTGAAGGGCGCCGTCGTTTTTCGGTAATATTATTTGCATTGACGGCGGCGTCATGTGCGTTAACGAGCTCTCGAAGTGCTCAAGTACAATATTTGAAATTGGTCAGTGGGTCAATCTGGTTCGGCCCGGCTGCCGCGAGACGAATTTGACAAAAACAAAAAGCTGAATTGAAATGGGAGTGAGTACGAGAGAGTGCGCCACGCGGTGGCTTATTTGTCTGACCTATGCCGCGATCGAGTGAGACACTAACCTTTCACCCGTTGGCGCCCTTGACTGTGATACAGATGCAAGAATGCCGAGTAAATTTAGATCTTTATAAAATATGTTCACACGTAATTTCACTTGAAAGTTGTAAAAAAATTGAAATAAAAAAAAATTGGCGAACTCGACATTGTAAATAAGATCATTACGAAGATTTATTCTCTAATTTAAATGACGGTGGAAAAATTTATTTTGATTATTGTGATTTGTTGTAAATTTCATAATAACAGATAATTTGATATTTTAAAACTTTACAATTTCCATACCAAATATTCATTTATTTATTTTGTTTTAATTTTTTTAAGGGCAAATTTTTGATATTTTTTCTATATCAAATGTTACTAAATTAATATTTAATTGATAAAAATGATCATCTGATTTTTTCCCCTAAAATCCTGTAGAACATTTTCATAATTGTAAATATTCTCCAGCATTTTTTTATATTTAAATTGATTAAATTCAAATTATTTAAGATAAAAATTGCAGAAAACTTTGTAAAAATCTCATATTTAACAATTATAATTCAATTTAAAGTTTTAAATTTCAACTTTTTTAAGGGATTTTTTTACAATTTAACAGTAATAAATATGTAAACGATCTTGTTTTTTCTTCTTCATATTACAAAATTATTGATTAATTATTGACAGGAAGTTTTATTGTTGTACTCACAGATGCAGCAGACGGCGAGCATCCTGACGGACTCGTCGGGCGGTTGGCACTCGGGGAAGAAGGGTTTGAGGACGTAGACGCTGAAGGTGAGCGCGACGATGGCCTGCGAGCACGGCCGGACGATCATGCACTCGATCCACAGCCGGATGAAGGCGAGGAACGGGCCGAACGTCTCCATGATGTACGCGTAGTCGGCGCCCGACTTGGAGATCATGCAGCCCAGCTCGGCGTAGCAATACGCGCCGAACATGGAGAAGATGCCGGACGCCGTCCACACCAGCAGGGACGCGTTCACGCTGCCCGTGTACTTGAGCACGCCCGTCGGCGACACGAAGATGCCTGTCAAAAATCAATTTATTTTTAATTTTTATTAGAAAAAAAATCATAATAATAATTGCAATAATTATAAAACTTCAAATTTCAATGTTGAAATGATGGAGGAAAAACTTTTTTCTTGAGAGAAAGTGGTAAAATATTAAAGGTGGATGTGAAATTTAATAAATTTTAATGAAATTTGCATATCAAAAGAGAAAATTCAACCTTTATTTGGTAAGAAAATTGCTTTATTAGTTTAAAGTTGAAGCTGCTGTTCAAATAAATTACCTCATTAAAACAAGAAATTTTGTAGCTCAAATATTAAAGATATATATTTCTTCAAATAAATGAAATCTCTATTATGACACAAAGTATTATTGTATGTTTGATTAATTTTGACCGCTTGAAATATAAAATTTTTAACAAATGCAGGTTTATAGCGGATTTTAAACAGTGGAATAACACTTTTTTTAATAGAAATAAAGAAAAATTGTTATCGGTTCACCTCAAATTGAATACATTTTGTAATTTGAAAAATCATTCTCTTGCAAACTTTTTTCTTATAATGCAAAAAATCTGTTTTATTCATTCTAAAATTATTGATTTATGATGCTTGCAACGTTTCCAATCAATTATTAAAATGACTGTCAAGAAATGGCTTTATTTGAACTTCAGAGGCTTTGGCAAAATTTTTGAAAGTTATTATGTCAATTTTTTGACCAAAATTTCGGAATTCTCCTTTAAAAATGGATGATTTTTGCAATGTAACTAAGTAAATGTTTGATTGGAAGAAATCAGTTTTTAAAATGTAAAATTTTTTAATATAAAATTAAAAATTAAATATTTTTTTCCCACGAGAAGGTTAAAACTAAAATTTATGCTTTTCATTAGTTTAATTGTCCAATTTTTGCAAGATTTTGAGACACAAATTTTTGGAGGAAAACAACCTTGCTGAAAAGGGTTAAGAATTGGTTAAAAAAAAACATCAAATTAAAAAAAAATGAAGCTTTTAAAATAAAATTTAAAAAAAAGGTTCATTATAACTTTATGTGCGTAATTTATTTCAATCTTATCTTTATCTTTGAGAAATCAAATAATGACCATAATTTTTCAAATTTAAATAAAAAAACAAAAATTAAGAAAGTAATTTACTTGCAAAAATTTAGTAAATTCTCCTTTTTATTGAAATTAAAACATTTGATGAAATAGAAACTTTTGAGTCAAATTTTCCGCAGAGCACGCGGTCGGAAAAACCGATCTAAATTATTTGCGAGGACCAACCTGAGCCGATGATGCTGCCGACGATGACGGTGATGCCGTTGAGCAGCGTCATCTTGGCCTCGAGTTTGATTTCGCCGCCCCCGGAGGCGGCCGCCGGCTGCTTTTCGGCCTCATCGTCGTCGCCTTTGTTGGACACGGACCTGCGGGACACCTCCGCCGACATGCTCATGCAGCGGAGCAACTGTGACTGAGGCGGCCGAGGCAGAGGCTGGGCATCGATCCGCGAGCAAGAGAGAGAGAGAGAGAGAGGAGCGGACGCAGCTCTCGGTCCCGCACTCGCGCCGCGTGCGCCCTGCCAAAAGGGGCTGCCGACGACAAAATAGGGGCTGCCGCACGCACATTTCGGCGCGAAAATTCGCCTTTCTAGGGCAGCTCGATAAACAAAATCGATAAGCAGCAGGAAATTGGGGGAACTTTTACACCAGCGAGTCGCACTTTGGTAGAAATTCCATAAAAAAATCATTTCAAAAATAAAATATATTTAAATGTTTTTTAAGGAAATGGTGTTGTTAGTTGAGTAAATTTATATAAAATTTATTAAATGATAAAAGCACGTACAAAATTAGAGTGAAAACTTCATTTTGACTGCAATTTTAATTTTAAAATATAATGAAAATATTTTCGTTTTAAAAACAATATTAGAAAAAAATGTAAATTAAAAATCAACCTAAAGAGAATTATTTTATAAGTAGAGATAGAGATGATTTTGAATTTAAATTTCAAATAAATTTATGGAAGTTCCTGGAATAAAATTTTTAAGTTTTATTTTTGTTTTGTTGTTTCTTTTCATATTATACTTTTTGTTTTCAATAAATATTTTAATAATCAACAACTCATTAATTTTGCCAAGTCAAATAAAGTCTTTGCAACAATGGAAGTTGAGCTTTCCTATGCTAAAATTGTATAATTTTTTTTTTGTAAAGATTTGAATATGAATCTAGATAAAAAAAAAAATAAACAGAGTTTGCTATTTAATTTAATTTGATTTAAAATTAAAAGTATGGAATTAAGAAAAGAAAGAGAACTTAAAAGTAAATAATAGTTCAGGGAAAAGAATTTGCAAATAATGAATTTTAATGGAAATGTTTTTGACGAACTAAAAATTTCATTATTTTGAGATTATAATTGATCTTTTGCGTCGCGATTCAAGTACATTTTGGAAAATTAATTTTAGACACGAAAAAATTACGGCCGGATTTTTCAAATGAAAGATCCAATAATTCCATAAAGAGTTTTGATTGATAACAAAAGAAATTGCAATTTCAAAGATTTTTTATTTGAATGATTTCAGACCCTTTAATTTGCCTATCAAATCTAGCAATTAATTGGTTTAATTGATTAATTTTCATTTAAAAAATAAGTTTACATGAATAATTAAAAAAAAAATCATTTTAGTGCTTTGAATAACGAGTATTGAAAAATCTCTAGCTGTGTTGATACAAATTATTTGGTAAATAAATTTAAAAGTTCATTATTTCCTGTTCAATATTTTGGAGAAAGGGAATTATTAGTTTTAACAAAATCTATATTTGTTCAAAACTGGAATATCCGGTATTTTTTTTTAAATTGATTATTGTCTTACTTTTATTGTGACTAGAAAATTTTTAACCTCTATCTTTAGTGCATCTTTCTCTTCCCTTCTAGTCTCTCGACGAAAATATCTCAATTAGCGATTGATCATCACCTTGATTGCCAAACAAGATCAACACGGTGGAATGATGAGATTTGAAGCAGGTCGATAATTAACACGTCACGCCGCAAACCTCGGGGTTTATTATCGGCACGCTGAGCATTAGCACCTGCGTAACTGCCCACCCGAATCATTCGTAAACAACAAGCCCATCTTGTAATTTGGAAAAATTAAATCAATTAAAACCCAATCGTTGAGAATTGCGACATTTTAGACGTTTATTCGTGGTTCAGTTTTTAACAAGTCCGGCAAGGCAGGTCAGGTCAACTGCGCCCCGCCGCCAAAATCAACAACATCCAACACTTTTTCAGCCGCCCTTTGAAAATATCCACCCCCAAACAACATCCGATTAAAGTGTTTTCACGTGTAAGTGTGTGTCGTGTGTGTACAGCTAGTGTAGGAAAAAGGCTAGTCTGCCAGTTTGTATATATCAGTGAATAATAAATATCATATTCAGCGTATAATATTCTTCGTCTTTTCTTCGATCAGCTATTTAAGAAGTAATCAATCACATTCTATGGCACGAACCTTCTCTATGAATTACATAAGATTATTTCGTTTTCATCTCACACTGGTAACCGGCACTTGAAGCACTAAAGCGACGGACGCGCGGCCTGGCTCAACGGGCAAAATCAGGTTTCCAAATTGTTAAAAGAAATTAATGAAAGTAAAACAAAATTAGTGAAAAATTCAGCAGCCACGACCGGCGCGTCCCTTCTTCTTTTCATTTAATTTCTTTTCGACTGCGCTCATTTTTAAAAAACTTGTTCAAAAATGACTGACTCTATTTGTCGACTATCGAGAGGATCCTCCCAAGCCCGAAAAGGGTCTCACTCACCCCGGGCTCCGCCTCGCTGGCCGCCACCAAGGTCAGAGCAGTTTGCCCCGTTTCTGCAGCTTGGCTTGGGTTTCTCGCAGGAGGTTGTCGAACGAGTCCTCGTGGTGCAGGTTCCCATTCTTGTTGCGCAGATTCTGCGCATCTAAAATGAAGACAAAATTGAATTAAAAAAAAGCAAATGACAATCAAAGATAAATCTAAATTTAGTACTCTCAGAAATCAGAAAGAAAAATATTAAATTAATTTATTTTTCTCCAAACTGGCTCAAATTTGGTCAGACTAAATAAATCTTTTTTGTTAAATTAGAAATTTTTAAAAATTCTGCCAACTAAGAAGTATTTCTTCAAAATAAACAAATTCGTACCCAAGTCCGAGTATCTAACTTTGCAGAACGTTCTCCTGCCGCCGAAGCACAAATCGTACTTGGGCAAAGTGGGGTCCTCGTTGCCGTGCTCCACGGCTTCGTAAGCGTCAACTTTGAAGGCAAATGTCACAAATCCGTAATTGTCCCTGGAAACTCTGCTCATTAGGCTTGACCGATTAAATCTTAATTTTGCAGAATTCTTTACCCATGCTCGCGGAAGTGGATTGAGATGTCGATGATTGGCCCGAAGCACTCGAAGCGCCTCCTCAACTCGGCTTTGGTCGTTCCGTCCGGCAACCTGCCCACGTAAATGACCCTCCTTTCCTCAACCTGCCGCTGCCTGTCTTTGCCATTGGAGTACCAGTCTGAACTGGCACTGCTTCCGCTACTGGAAGTGCTCGACGGCGAGTTGGACCTTTAAAATTAAAACCAACATCAGAATTTAACACTATTTGTTAATTTAAAAATTAATAAGAAAAATGAAACATTCACAGTTATGTTGATTGAACAGAATGTCTCATTTTTCATTTTAGTTCCTTTATAAGAGTTTGATAATCATCAGAAATAAGGACCTGTTGCAACTTCTGCTGGAATATTTGCTCCTCGGTATTGATCTCCGTCTGTAAGGGGAGGAGTCATGGCGTCTCCTTTTAGTTGACGAGGCTCCGATTGAGCGAGATCTAGAGCTGATTGTTCATTTTTTTTATTGACAATTTAGACTGAAGACGAAAAGTTACCTGGAAGAACTAGAGGACGAGGAGGAAGAGGAGGACCTTCGTTGTTTTCTTCTCGATCTCTGCCCACTTTTTCGGCGGGCGCTTGGACTACTGGAGGAACCTGAAGAGGACCTCCCATGGAATTCGCTGACGTGAGAGCGGTATTGGCGATTTTTGTGCGGCGCCCGACTAGGTCTGGAAAGAAATTTCATTGAAAAACTATCAGTAAATTTCAATTATTTGCAATCGATTTAAAAAAATTCAAAATTCCCAATTAAGTGTTTTTAAAACTAAAGCAAAAATTTAATTTGTACAATTAAATAATTTCAAATCCTTCAATTTGACTTTTCAATACCTTTCGGATCTAGAGTCTTTTGTTTCAGGTTTTAGCTGCTGCTGGGTGGAGTTGCCTTCGTCCTCCTGGGTCTGAACCTCGACACTGTGCATCTCAGGCTTCCCCATGGCCACAGTTGGCGATGCCGGTCGGGCAGGACTGGACAGACAAGACGATGCCGCACTACTAGAACTCTTGCTGGCCTTCAATCGGTCCAGCTCCTCCCTTCGTGTCCGATATTCTTGCAGGTTTAGCTTCTTTTTCACAGGCTAATGAAACAAATTATAATGGCTTTAAAAATAATCCTTTTCTAAGCTTACAGGAGCGTCGATGATTAATTTCGCAGTCGGTGCCGCTTCTTCGCTGGCGTCGCTGACCTCCCCAGACTCAAGACCGCTGTCCTTCTTGGAATTTTTCTCCCAGTTCGATCCTGGCTTCAGTTCTTTGCTCTCTTCGGCAGTCTCGGCAGGGCTCCTGCTTGGCACCAGATTACTCTCCCTTTTGTAATCATTTGAGTTGCAGTTGTAAAAGCTGACTTGGGGACTCTCGCCGATGCTAGAGCAGTAGTCATGGTCAAGCTGCACCGTGTCTCCAGCGGCAATCTGAACAAAAATTTAAAAATCAATTCAAAAAAGTTTACAAATTTCATAAATTTGACATATTTGATGAAATTTACGCATGTGAAAGAATTTACGAATTTTGATAAAATTGTCATATTTGATGAAATTTACAAATTTGATAAAGATTGAGAATTCAATAAAATTTACAATTTTAAGTAGTTTATTTCTGTTCAGGGTGGCAGCTGCGTCCTGCATGCGAGTTCCTGTCACCAGGCGTTTGGATGGAATGGCAGGAATCACAGGAATGACTTTCTTTCGGGAAGTTGCCTGCAAAATAAATTAATAAAATTGTTATATCTTCATTAAATTATTACAAAATCATTCATTTAAACAAAAACTGATTAATTCAGAAAAAATACCTTGATTTTATCCACCACTTCCTGGGGTAGAGCCTCTCTGATCTTCTGGTTGGACAAGACGAGCAGAGAGTTGGAAGGAAAAGTAGGCAAAGTTTGCGGAGGCACCACAGGTGGGAGGTCAGCATGGCCGTTCACGCCTTCGGAAGCTTCGAATTGCTCCAGCAAACTTTTGAGGTCGCCAGCTTCCAATACTGAAATTGGAACAAAATTCATTGAATAATTTCAAATTAGTTAAAAATCCTACTTGGCATCTGCTCGGCTATAGTCTCAACGTCAATACAGTCTTCGTCGTCCAGCTCCATTTTGCACTCCTTCATCGGCTTGAGCACCTCGTTCTCCTCCTCGCTGTCGTCGGCAGCCATGATGGGCAGACGCGCGTCCTGACTTTCCGCTTTCATTCCGTAAATCGAAGTGGACGCCGAGGCGAGACGCTCCTGCCGAGGTTTCAACAACGACCGCGAGTTGGAAGTCGAGGGCGTCGCAGACAAACTGACGTCGCTGTCGAAAATGGAGTCAGGAAACGGTTGTCCGGGACAAACGTCCAGGTCCTCGCTGTCCGAGGCCTGCATGGCACCCAAATGCTCCTGCCAGTCACTCAGGATTTTCTGGAAGTCTTCCGTCGGCGTGAAATGCACATTGTCCGAGCTTAATCTAAAATTAACAAAAATGTAAATTAATAATCAATTGGTTTACTGCAAATTTGTTCCAAATCTTTACGAACTGAAATTTGTGAATATGATATCAAATTTTGAAGAAGTTTCTATTAATTTTAATTCTGAATTTCGTTGAATGAAAAAAATAAATATTAATTAAATTACTCTGGTTCAGCATCCCAGAAGCTAGGGCCTGTGTACGGAAACTCGGACTTCATAATTTCCAACAGAGATCCCTGAGAGTCGTCCATTAAATTCTGAAAAAGTTTTGAAAGTTATATTTGAAAACTTAGATATTTATTAAAAACTTGCCTCTTCGTGATACAGAGGCGACGGAAGGGAATTGTTATGGCACAAAGCGTCCTCTTGGAAAATCGAGTCCATCTCGGAGAAATCGACAATCCTGTAAATTTGATTTAATTAGTTTTGAGGATAATTTATAAATTTTAGAAATTAATTTTTTCATTTAATAAGAAAAAAATAGGCAATAATTGACCCAATTAATTATTTTAATTCAATATTTTTTTTTAATTAACATTCAATTTATTTTTCTTTCAAGAACATGAACAATTATTTAGCAACCGTGGATCTGTTAAATTAATATTTGCGAAGCGCTTAACCCAATTATTAGCCCCGTTTGAAAAGAGGCATGGCAGTTTTCTCGTCGGCCAAGGGCGATTTGACACGTCCGATCTCATTACAGAGTCAATCACCCTTCCATCCGAACGCAAGTCGGCCTTCAGATGACTCAGATAAGGACCGAAGTCTGCAAAAAAGCACAAATTTGCTAACCAAATTCGCATGAAATTAAATCGTGACACGATCGGCGCTGCACAAACTCGATCGGTGTCCTTGGCGAGGTCGAATTTCAACCGCGTTGGCCCGGTCAATAACTCGCCCCAAGGGTCGAGCGGCTCAAAAGCGGCCGAATTCGCCCCGGACCGGCCACAGCGGCCAGAATGACCGAAATTCAGCCGAATTCCGTTCGGCCCGAATGAGAAAATTGTAAAACAAAGTCTGGATTTTTTGAAAAATGCAAAGGGATTCGAGTCGAGGCGGCCACCGGCGGCCACGCTGAGGGACAGGAGGCCGATTTGGGCCGTTATCACGTGCAAGAGCGGCCAAAAATAGCGGCTGCTTGCACTTCTTTTGGGCCCGGGCCAAGCGGCGCTGCACGGAGTGGCCCGTGCGGCCGCCGCACTGGCCGCTGACAGCCGCCGAGGCCGGCCGCCGGACACCGAGCGGGACGGGGCTCACCTTGGGCAAGGTCACAGGCCAGCTGCGGCCACCATCACAGGCCCAATCGCGCACGAAATCGGCTCAGGGCCCACCAGCACATATGGATCTTTCCACGAGATTTTTATACCTAGGTTAAAATTTACGTGCGAATTCATGCATGCCTCGACCTGTTCGTCCGACAGGTGCTGCCACCCATCGGAGGCGCCGCAACTGCCACGCCACGAGCAATTTTTGGCGCGAAAAGCTTCTGAGGAAATGCTTTTGCCCTCCATCCCGGAGATTCTGCGTTCGATTCCCACTCCAGACGGATTTTTCTCGGGGGTACTTGAGTGATTTCTTATGCTGGGACTGCGAGCGAAGGGTTTTTCTTCGGGGCCGCAGAATTTCGTGTTGATAAGGGTGCACTTTGCACCACAGTTGTACGCAAAAGCGTTATTAAAAATGAATTATTATTCAAAATAATCTTTCGAAATATGAAATTGACAAATTTTCATGTTATTACTTTTAATACTCAATTAAAACAGAGTTTAAAGGGTTTCTTGAATTTCGATGTTTAAATCAAACAATTTTGCTTTCTAATAATTAAATAAAAAATAAAAAATACATGCTTGTCCCTCAGATCAATTGGAGGTTGTTGGGAATGTTGATTAAATATAAATTTTACAAAAATTTACTTCATTCTACATAAATATAATTTCTGAAAAATATTTTGGAACCTCTTCGAAAATTTTATAAAAATTCAAGCTCAATGATAACAATTATTTAACCCAAGCCGCTGCAGATTAGGTTAGAAAAAATGTCAGACGCTTCTTAAAAAACACTTACAATGAAAATGCGATAGCGCCGGCCAAAAAATTAGGTTCAATGAAAAATGAAAAGATATAAGTGCTTCGTTAATTTTGAAAATTTTCCATGGCGCTGAAAGAAATATTTGCCCGTTTTAATTAAAATACACGATCAATGGAATTGATTGCATGATTTTAGCCACGTTTTCCTTCATTTCATAAAAAAACCTTAAAGTTTCGTCACGACGTGCACACATTTCTATATATTCTAATGGAAAAGAGCCATTTTTCCTGACGGACAGGTCAACAAAGCAGACTCCCCTGTCGTCAATTCATCTTTTCCTTTTCTCTTGATCGTCTCGTATATTTGCAATGAAAACAGGGTCACCTCCCTCTCGTCGCTTTTAACCCATTCAGTCGAATTTCGTTGGTCTCGCAGTTTGTCGGGGGCTCGCGATGGCGAAGGTTGTGGCCAGCATCAAGGCCATCGTCACCAGGGTGGTGTTCGGAAGTCACGGTCTGCTCGCCATTTGGCAGGTCACCATTCTCAAGAAGGACCTCCACTTTTGGTACTTGTCTGCACCCATTCTGCTGCTTTTCTTCGAGGGAATTTTCACACTGACCATCAAAAGGAGCCAAGAGTGGAAATGGTAATTTATTTTTAATTGAAGAAAAATTATAATAGGATTAAGTGCAAAATAAAATGGAAAAAAATAACGCTCTTGTTCTGCTTCTACCTTGTTTTTGTTTAGAGATTTGAATTTTTGATATACTTTATTTTATTTTCTGATAAAATAGGAAATTAATTCTAGATAATTTTCACACTTACGTTTATATTTTAATTATGGCTTTATATTTAAAAAATTTTAATCATTCCGTCAACTATGAGCAAGAAAATCGTATGATTCAGAAGTTTTGTAACGAATTTAAATGACAAAGTTTTCAATTTTTAAAAACTTCAATAAAACTCCACCCAAGGAAACTGGTTTGAATTTTATAGATATCAATTTTCTGAAGAAAAAAAAACATTTTAATTGTTAGTATTTAAAACCATAGGAAGGAGAATTTTCATTCATTTGAAATTTCTTTCTTTCGAAATATTTAAAATCAATCTTGCATTCAAAAAACGTATCGACACAACAACAGGTTCTAAATTTTGTCTTTCAATTAATTTTTTTAATATTCTGTGAATGCTACCATAACAATTTGAATATGAAATTAAATAAATGGAGGAGGGGAAAGAATTCTGTATGTAAATTTTATAATTTTTTTTATATCTTAATCTCTTCCCTTATTTTGTTATATAATTTTTTCATCATATGTTTAAAGGAAATAAATTTTTAAGTAGATTCACGTATTAAATTCGATACTCCGACGAGCCACCTTGGAAGCAGCCAATTTTAAAAACTTTGGCACTCGTCGTCGCGCATTTCAAAGAGAGCGTTGTTCTTTTTGTTGTACTCGCTGTTGACAATTGCTATCCATCATAACGCAGAGCAGCCAGGCCTGCTCACTCACTGTCCACAAATAAACAGCAACCTTGGTCGACGGGCAACAGAAAAGGTCTCTTGTTTCGCGAGGTTTGGCTCGCACTTGAGAGAAATATAAAGAGATGCACAAAATAAATCCAACATATAAAATTGCACAAAACAGAAGGCCTAGGCAACTCTTATCCCCGCCGCGTCGCGCGGATTGCATAACCACGACCTTTCGCAGGCGCTCGAGCGCGCGTGCTGCGGAAAAAATATACACGGCTTGTGCAATAAATTAGAGTACTTTTGGCTCGCCGTTTTGTCGAGATCTTAAGGTCGAGCTCGGGAATTTCCCCATCGTGTGTAAAGTAAAGAAATTTCACTGAAATAGAGAGAGGAATTTTTCAAAGCCGGAATCGATGAATATGCAATTCGTCATGTCGTGATGACAGTCACTAAAAGCAGCCATTTCTCGGACAAAAGAGAACTCATGATGCTTTGTCAAACCAAAGATTGGACGAGAATGCTAAAAAAACGATCATTTGCGATTACGAATAGCAATTTCAATGCTTAACGAGTTTCGTCAAATAAAAATTGGCCCAAGTGAATTTAGATGACAATTTTTTTGTCAGTAATTAAGTATCATTTTTAGAGGTCATTTAATAGGACATATTTAATTAACATCAAAAACTGAATTTATTTTAAGTAATTGACCAATGAAGCTTGTTATGAAAATTTTCTTGTAAAAAAAATTGTGTAATTATAAAGTTATAATAAAAAATTAATTATTTTTAAGTTATTAATTTAGTAATTCTATTTTTCAAACTGAATTATTTTCAATTATCGGATAGTTTTACGATGAAATTTAATTTAAAATTTGAAAAACTTTTAACAATATTGGAAGCAAATTTTGTTTCATTTGTTCTTTGGTGGAAAATTATTGTTGTATTTTTTAATTTAAAAGGCATTTTTTACATGGCCTTTAGGAAATTTCGGGAAAATTAAAAATCAAAATGATCAAAAAGAAGTAAAAAGAAAGGTTTTATTTGAGAAAAAACTTGTTCATATATGATTAAGAGATTTTTTTTTTTTTTTTTTTAATTTTTTCACAGGTTTTGCCCGAGTGTTTTTCTGTACTTGGCCAGTGTGGTGCCTGCCATTTGGCTCCTGGAACTGGACAAGTTGGACAAGAGGTACTTTAATAAGGGTGGCGACCTGAATGCGACAACTCCCGAGGGACTGCAAAAACTGGACCAACTTTTAGGGGTGAAATTAATTAGAAAAGAATTTTTTTTTTAATAAATAATTTCTGAATCGACAGCCGCACGTGCAGATTTCCGCCTTGAACATTTCTCCGGACACGTGGCTGACCTTAATCGAGCAGTTCCTGATGCTGATTTTGATTCTGGGCCGGTGGATGTTGCCCAAGGGAGACCTGACGAGGGACCAACTTTCCCAACTGCTACTCGTGTACATCGGAACGGCCGCCGACATAATCGAGTTTTTCGACACATTCCAGGTTTTAAATTGAAAAATTAGTAAAAATTTTGAGTTTTTCCAATTTTCATGACAATCTAGCTCCAAAAAAATATTTAAAATTCACGTATCATTCAAAAAATCCTGACTAACGTAAAATATTTTCCAAAAGGATGAAACGATTGGGAAACATCCTGTGCTACCAGCACTGACTTTGGCTATTTGGTCGTGGAGTCTCCTGCAGTTCACCGTGGTGCTCACGGCAACCAAATCTTCGAGACGCTCCAGAATTTCGGCCCCGGCGCAAACTTCCAATAGACGAAAAGGCAAAAAGAAAAGAGGACGTAAAGGGGCGGCCGCCTATTGTTGTTCGGTCGATGTCTGGGCAATCGTGATCAACATCCTCCTGCAAGACGCGCCATTCGTCATTTTCAGGTGAAATTTATTTTAAAAGAAATCAAATTCAAATAGGCTCATTATTACTATTATTATAATTGCACTAATGATTTCCTTCTCTCAATGTGAAAGTGAAACTTTTGATTCGTCAAAAAGATATTCTATTTCAAAAGTAATCAGATTAATAAACAAAATCTAGGCTGAAATTTATGATGGAAAATTCAATAGAAAAATAAAATATTTACAAATTTGCAATAATTTGATATGAAATCATGGTTTATAATCAAAATTTACTGAGATTTCTGGAAAAATCCAAAATAGTTCCTACATAAAATGTGATTAAATTGCTCTGAAAATGGAGAGTAAAAAATTTTCTCAAAAATTTTCTTTGCATATAATTACCAATTATTACAAAAACTCATTGAGAATCAGCCCTTTTTTTAATTTTTAATACATATCATTAAACAAACTTTTCTTGAAAATTCTCTTGAAAATAAAATCATTGCTTACAATAATTATAAATTAATTACGATTCAGAGGCCTCCTGATCGGCTACTACCGCATCATCAGCTACATGAACATTTTCTTCACGTGCAAAAACACCCTGGTCATCGCCCTGCAGTTGTACAGACTGTACGTGGTGTTCGCCGAGAAGAGGAACAAACTGAAGAAGCAGCAAAAGCTGGCGAAAGGCAAGAAGAACAACAAACGAGACCCTTCGCCGGACATTTCGTTCGTCCTGGCCAACGCCGCCAAATACGGGCTGGATTTCGAGACGGCCGCTCCGAAGTCCAAAAAGAAAGGTCAGATTCAATGTGCAATATTTCTGGTGACCTCCAGCAGAATGGTCTGACTTTTGAGATAATTATTTTCAAAGTCAAAATAAACACAGTAAAAAAAATCAGATCATAGAAATGATAAAATTAGTTTTTATCAAAAATTTTCAGCTATTTTTTTTTCAAATATCGAACAAAATATTATTTAAATATTAAAAAGAGAGATTTTGGTTCTTACCTTGGTGCTGTTCCTGTACACATTCTACTGCCATTTCTAATCCACATAATTCAGTAAAATTACACAAAAATAATAAATTTTTCTTGCAAAACACGCGCACAGGCCAGAAGCAACGCAACGCCAACTACGGTTTGGCGTCATGCTCAGAACTGCTGGGTGTTGCTTCAAACCCAGCCAGTCGCCTTGATACCGGAGGTCAAAGGGTAAGCGGAGTGTCATATGGATTTATTAAGTCACTATCACTATCTTGATAAAATTTTGTGTGCCAAAAAAAGAAAAAAAGTGATTTATTAAATTTTAACTGGCATTTTATTTATTTTAATTTGACACACTCTTGACAAGGGTCAACCAAATTGAATGAAATTTGGCCCATCATTTCGATTCATGGTCCAGACAAATAGTTTCGAAGGATTTTGAAAAATTCTCAAAATTGTCTATTTTACAGGGGCTCAAAGTAGGCGATTTTGAAGAAAGGAGTTTTCAAAAATCGAAAATATCTCAGTTCCTGTTTGAGATAGCGCAAATGTTTCTATCATCAAACTTGTAGGAAATTAGACGTCCTACAACTCAGCCGTGGTAACCAAGGTCATAGGTCAAAGTTCAAGGTCACTTTTACTGACCTCGGGATTTTAAGTCGATTTCAAAGTACGACGGAAGTAAAATATTTTGATTTCAAAATAGCCAAAAGTTGCCTAATTAAGTTAGCAATAACATAATAAAAAATGGCGGAACTTGTTTTTTTCGTTTTCGAGATATGCAGGGTTAAAGGGGGAAAAACGTGGTTTTCCGAGCCTTTTTAATGCAAAAACAACTTTAAACGGCCATAACGTTTCTCCTGTTAGAGATAGGACAAAATAAGTAACGACAAAAAATGTTCCCCTTGACTTGTTCTTTCTGATCATGTATCAAAAAAAGGTCACATGTCACCGGGGTGTGTGTCAAATTAAAATAAATTATGCCAACTCTTAATTAGGACTTTTTGTTGCATAAACGACATCAGTGTTTTCCAAGTACGGAAATTTCAAATTCTTTCAAACTATATTTTATTTAGTCCTTTTTTCCATATAAATTCGTATCTTGAATAAAAAGTTTAATCATTTACTTGGAAGCTTTTAAATCAAACTTGTTCTACGTTTGCTATAAAAAAGAAGAGCATTATTTTTTGTAAAAAATATTTAAATTCCTATGGAAAAAGTTTGCTTCAAAGTAATATGACGTTTTGTTTTAAACAAATTGATTTCAGTCTCACGTTTTGTGATCAGAGTGACAAAATTGGAAAATTTGCAAAAATTAATTATTTCATGAATTTTGGAGTAAATTAAAAAACTTTTTCACTGGTTTTGGAATAGAAATTTAATAAAAAATTTCACTCAAAAGCTGAACCGGCGGAAATCTGTGAGCGCAAACGACTTGCACGAATTGGAGTTGGGCGAAGAGGAGGAATATCTGAGCGAGGACGAGCAAGAAACGGCCCGGGTGGGCAAAGAGGAGCAAAGCAGCGAGGAGGAAGACGCCCCCGAGGAACAGGGCGACTCGTTTTCCGAGGAGGACGACCCCCTGGCCGAATTCACCCCTGCCCAAATCAGCTCGATTCTCAGCGCAGCCGCAAATTCGAAGAGGAGGTTTTGAATTATTCGGGGGAATTTTAAGAAATTCAAATTTGCAAATTTCAGTCGAGCAACAGTTGCGCCCGCTCGGGGATTGCGACAGGACACGGGCTACTCGACCGCCACTTCTAGTTCACGATCACGCGTCTCTGTAAAAAAAATTATTACTTTTTTTCAAATTAATGTTTAATATATTTTTGCTATGTAGGCAAAAAAGAATCCAAAGACGCGGATTTCATCAGCGCACTCCACTCCAGGTCGATCAAACAGGTTAATTAAAATTTTATATACAATTTGATAAAATTGCTCTTGGAAATTAGTTCCTGAAAAAGTCCCAAATAATTATTTACATTTTACTTTCCAAAGAAATCTGAAATCTATTGTTAAAAATTCCAAATTTGATATAAGGAATAATAAGGAATATTAAATTTTTTTATTTTCCTAAATTAATTCTTTATATGCGGAATCAAACTATTATAAAAAATACGCAAATTTCTTTAAAACATTGAATTTTTTAATTAAATGAGAGGCAAAGATTTTTTTAACCCGTCAAGATTAGAGTAACTTCTAATTATTATAAAATTAATAATAATTTTTAGAATTCGGAATCGATTTATAAGAGAATTATTTAATAATTCTTCATTTATATTTATAATTAATTAATTAATAAAATAATCTTATTTTGCAAATTAATGCACCTATTTATAATGAAACTGAAAAAAATAATTCAATGAACATTATTAAACTCGATTTTTTTCATCTTCTCGTAAATAATTAAAATTTATTACTCATTTATATATTTTGTTGACAATTTTCTATGCTTGGCAGGGTGGTTAAGAAATCTTCGGGCGGTCGTCGGAACGCGTCCAACACGATGGATGAGCAAATCTGACAGCGAAGATTCGCGATCGCCAGTTTGTTCCTCTTGTTTGGCCTCATCCTAGGATTATGCATGCTGCTGATTCACGGTGGGATCACTCCGGAGGGAATCGTCCTGAGCCGCTTCCCCGGTCGCGACAGACCGAAAACTTTGGTCGATCCCAATTTCAAGCAAACCAACGAAAAGGTCACGACGACCTCATCAGTTCTGGGAGACGAAGAATTGCTGATGTAAAGTAAAAAAAAAAAAGATTGCAGAGAGAAGTGAGAGCGGATTTATTTAGGAATTCGGATGGTCTGTTTGGCTCTCGTTTGCGGCTCCGTTTCAACGCACAGGTTTTAATTCCAACGCTGAATGGATTCGCTTGTTTATTCGCAGAGAGCTGCGGTTTGCGTAGAGAGTTGGCCTCGCCTGGCCGACGTCTTTACGAGAACGATGAGTTCCTGCTGTTGTTACGCGCCACACATTTGTGAATGAAACGACGCACCGTAACGTAATTTGCGAAACGACCAGACTGTTAATTGAAAAACTAAATTGATTCTTTCAAATTTATAAATTATATAAATTTTAAAGATTATTCTCATTTTTAAAAACATAATTTTCATCATTTTATTATTTTAAAAATTCATTTATAAGTTAGAGTTTAAAGTTTAAATTTTTAATATTGTATCAATTTTTTTTAAATATCCACATAATATTTTGATAATTAAAACCAGCAGAAAATTTTAAAAATTTATTAGGGCAGTTTTCCAAAATAATTTTTTATTAATTTAGTTTAAAAATTTTACTTTATTATTGCTAATTTGATGATTTTAGCGATTCTATTTGAATTTATTTCAAATTCTATTAAAATAAAACATGTCATCCTTAAGATATTTTTCCTGGTGCTGTTTTTAATTCTGACGCGTGCGATATTATTTGCGAGTCGAGCATATGCTTCACGCTTTTAATTTTAGAACGCCTGATTAAATTGTCGCATTTCCATCTTAAAGAGATTCCAAACCCACGCGAGCTGAAATTTCACGCGCGCAGTGACACTCTTGGGAGGAATGTTTTGGTGATTTCATTCTGATGCACAAATAGTGTTGTTTGTGTGCGGCCACGCTCTTCTGCTTTTCGCGCGCGCTAAATTTAGCCGCGGCCAGACATTCATCTGAGCGCGTCGATTTGCTTATTTAGCCTAAAAGCGTCGCTAAAAGGTGCGTTTCCGCAGCTTCCTGTCCGAGAAACGAGAGGCTTTTTATCTTTCGAGATTTAACTGCGGAGATTTCTAAACGAAATGTTTACACTTTTGAGTAAGACGTGCAGGCCGCTCCAGTTTGTATTAGAAAAACATTTATGCGCGGATATAATTAATTCTCGTGTTAGAAATAGAGAGGAAATGAGATTAAATGCTTTTTAGATAAACCTTAAAATTACGATAGTTTGTAATATTTATCTTTGGCATTTATAGATTAAGTGCTGAATTAGCTGATTTAGAGAGCTGCTGGAAAGACAGATTTACCAGATGTTGCAAAAATTTGTAAATATTATAATGTTAAATTGGTTTAATAATTAAATAATAAAAAAATTGGTTCAAGATGGAAAAATTTGCTTCCGCACAAATAAAACTTACCATGTTAATATTTAAAATTTAATAATTATCTCATAATTAGTTTTTGAATCTCTGAATTTGATCTCAATTTTAGAACAATTTCTTGCTAATCTTAATAACTTAAGAATTGATATAAAAATGCAGAAGTATAAATTTGTATTTGAAAGGTTTGTGCTTTTTGTGTTTATTCCTCTAAAAAGAGGATGAAAAAATTTCCTTGCTTCTGATGAATTAAACGAATTATGAATTTGAAAAGTTCAAAATTTTGTGATTCTCCAAGATTTAATTGTAAAGAATTTAATAAAAATTACTAAGATCTTGTTATCAGTTTTAATCCCAAAATGTTTAGGAATCGCAAATTTGATTTGTAAAATATTTTTACTCAAAATGACTAATGAGTCAGTAAAATTTATTGAATAAATACACACAAAAATATCCACAATTTTAATTTGTAGTTTTATTAAATTACAATCACAATTTTTACGATTCTCATCATTTAATTTTATAAAATAATTTTTGTTTGTATTGTTTGACAAAACTTTTGCGAAATCTTCAAAGATCAACAGCAATTCAAAAATAATTTAATTTTCTGCCGCCAGAAATGAGGCAATTGTAAAATTAAACAAGAACAAAATTTATATAATTTCGCTGTTGGCCTAAAACCTAAACGAAATTAAAGACGCTTTGAAATTTTTTGACGTTGAACAAAGAGGTTTTTCAAATCGTCGTCACCTTGGAGCGCAACATCATTTTTAACGGGCCTGCTTTTGGCACGCTGCACACTGCTTTTCAGCTCGACACAAAAATGCACTCTATTACCAGCAAAACGCGGATTTAAATTTAAGGCAGGCTAATTACTCGCGAGCCGATATATTTACGCAAGGCCAGCACAATCATTTAGACGGGGCAGAAAAACAGCTTTTTTTCCGCACTCAAATTTATGCGATTTCGCAAGCGAAGATTAAACGATGGCGCCGCTCTCGAGACGCGAGGGAGGCTGCTTGTTTATTAATAAACAGGGCTGGTCCATTACGCGCGCGTCACCATCTCTCTCCTGCCGCCGCCGCGGATGAGGCTTTTTAATTGCACTCTCGTGTGTGATTTAAAGAAGGGCCATTTGGCACGCGAGAAACTGCGCGGCCAACTGGAGCCGCACTTCTTCTTTTTCATATCTCTAGGACGCACTTCTTCTTGTTTTGACTGCGTCCGATGGACTCATAAATCATCCGCACTCGAGGACTATCACTCGCTAATTTCGGTTTTGGCGCCACTCGGCCCATTTTGCAGGTTTCCTCAAGAGCTTTGTCGCCGCCAATCGAGAGCGGATTTTTTTCAGAGGGATCAACGATTCTTGTAACGTGCCAAAAATAAATAAAATATAAAATTTCAAAAGATTAATATAATTATTTCTAAATTCTGCAATGTCATTTATTTTTACTATGCTTAAAGACCTCCTCCGGTCATTTGAATTGCTCTTTATTCTGAAAGATTGCTAAATTTCGAGTAAATCTTGTGAAAACACTATTTGAAAATTCCAAACCGTTGCGTCTCAATCAAAAGAAAACCTAAATACTAGTGATTCGCGCGAAAAACGTGTGAGAATCGAGTAGCCAATCAGATCCATCAGTTTTGTACAAAAACTACAGAATTTGGTCACATTGGCGCTGCGATCGCTGATTTTGCCACGTTTTCTGCAGCGCCGTGGGGCATTAGTGGCAAAATCAGCGATCGCAGCGCCAATGTGACCAAATTCTGTAGTTTTTGGAAAAACTGATGGAACTGATTGGCTACTCAATTCTCACACGTTTTTCGCGCGAATCTCTCGTAATTAGGTTTTCTTTTGATTGAGACGCAACAGTTTGGAATTTTCAAATAGTGTTTTCACAAGATATACTCGAAATTTAGCAATCTTTCAGAATAAAGAGCAATACAAATGAAAGGAGAGGATCTTTAAATTTTTTTTTAAAAGTGGCTAAATAATGATGGGAGTAATTTTTTTTATTTGTTAGAACGAAATTCATTCTCATTTTTAACTTAGATTAGTGAAATTTTTATTATTTTTTCTTCAGATATTTTATATTTTCTTTAATTTATTTATAATTCTCTCATTTTTACAATAATTTAGTTATATTCAAAAGATTTAAATTTTCTCTACTTGACTAGATCTGAAGAAATGAACTGTGACGTTAATTGACAGATTCGCTCAACACATTTTCCCAGAATATTTTCAGCTAGTTTTACCTCTTCTTTCCAGTGAAGCAGGAAATTTACATTACACGCGCTCCAGCAATACACGTAATTCTGGTGCCTCTCAAATTATGCTCTCATGACATGCTGCTGATGGTTTATTTTTGCAACTTTTCTGGAACACGCAGATGCAATTTTAACATTGCGGCCAGAGGTGTAAACAAACATAGACGTGAGTATGAGCAAAGTTTATGATATTTTCAAAAATTTAGGCCAACAATGTTTTTTGAAAAAATCCGAGAGCAACAATTTTCATTTTCAAAATTAGATTGAAAACGATGCTTGAGAAAGAAAATAATATTTTTGATCAATTTGATAAATAGTATGTTATTTTTGTCTCTAAAGAAATGAGAACATTTTAACCAAAAATTTATGAATTATGCACTTTTAGCTTGGAAAAGACGCCATAATAGGTAACTTTCCTCTCCTGAATATTATAATTTTGGGTGAGAAATGATCAAATTATTTTGGGGTGAACAGTTTTTTTATATAGATTCGTGAATAAATAAGGTAATTTAGATAAAAAGTGTTTTTATATTGAGCTTCAACGCGTACCAAAAAAGATAAAATAAAAAGAAAGTGGAGGTTAAAGTGGAAGGCTTTAATAGAAGCCTTAGAAACCCGCTTATCAGGTTCTCAAAATGATTCTTTGGATTTACAGAAATCAATAAAATATTATATTTTGTCAATCTTGGTAATTCTTTAAAGTCACATTTAACTAATAAATTGCATCTCAGGGCTTCATTTGTAAATTTTAGTTTATTTTCTAACAAATTTAGGCCAAAAAGTTATTCACATTTGAACTTTTCTCAATTTTGACTCGCAAGTTTTTCATACTTTTTGAATTGTTTAATACAGGAATATAGGTCAATGATTTCCTTTTAAAGAATTCGCACAGATGTGTTGATGCGCCGAAATCGAAAGGGACCCCGGCGTCGAAAATAGCCGCGCGCGGTGGTGCATCAGCGGATCAGAATCTCTGAGGACTGGTGCAACAAAGTTTGTTCGCGAAGGCCGGAAACGCGTTAATTTTGACGCGTAGCTCGTTCCCACCAAACGCATTTTTTGAGAGGTGAAAGCTCCACCGAAGAGTCCAGACCAGAGATTTCTCTGAAGATCTCTCGACGCCGCGTGGTCGCCGCAACGCGCCTAAATTTAGCCTTTTTGAGCGTCGGGCGTCCGGCCAAGGAATTCGTACGTGAATGACGTCCGGCGGAATTCTTCTTCCCTGCTTGCGACAGTGGCGACACCACTGCATCGGTCGGTGTGCGCAAGCGTCGCGTTCGGCGGCGGCCAATGTCGAGGCTGCGACTGACCGAGTTCGCAACACTCATCAACCGGCTGCAGTCGCGAGAGCGGTGAATGAGCGACCCCGACTAGCGATTCGCACACTTTGCCAGCTGCCGCTGCTGCCAACACACAATTGAAATCAACGCGCCGCGAATCGGCTTTTCGCATTACAACAGAGGAAGCTCGAACACTTTCGAATGACCATGGCTGCAGCATCATCCTCGGCGCAGGACGACGCACTCAAATATTTGGTGAGAACACGAAAATTTCCCTATAAATTGCCATTTTTAATATTCAGTTTTTAATTTTTGCTGAATTTTTATATAAACATTTTAAATATTTCGCACTGAAATTCAGAAAAATCGATTTTACAGAAACTTTTCAATTATTAAATGCAGAAATTCAAAGACTAAAAAATTTCATTTTATTTGATATGGATTTTTAGCAGGTTTAATTTAGAATTAAATTATATTAAATTTATACTGCAACAATTGCAGAACAGAAAACTCTCAAATACTTAGAATTCTCGTTGAAACATTTAACAAAATATATAATTATCCTCATTCTAATTTCATTTTTCACATTAAATGAGCTGCATAGTTTTTGTATGACAGCAAAATGGATGTGAGAACTCGCAGCTAAATTAGTATTACTTCCCAAGAAGAAATTTAATTAAAATTTTGTTGCGCTTTCTACGTCCTGCTGTTTTATAGAAGTAGAAACTAAACTACGGCTCATTTGGTAGTTAACGGAGTAGCATAAAAAAAAATGGATTAAGCGCCACAAATTTAGGTGCATTTTGTTGCAGGAAAGTGAATCAAGATAAATTATTAATTAATTTTCTACTAGATTTAATTCAAGCAGCCTATTTTATATAATATGACGACTGATCATGATTTTCAAATAGTCCAAAGATTTATAATTTTGATAAAAAAAATTCTTAGAATAATTTTAATACATTTTGAAGAATACGCGAATAAAAAACGAATAATTGATTGCTTTTCACTGTGCAAAATGTTTTGTATAACAAATTTGAAAAATAAATGTCAAAACTATTTCAAGGAATTATCTTTTTTTACCACATTTTGCTGTTATTCAGGACTTGGAAATTTTTAACTTTCAATCCAAAGTTTCTTTATAAATGAATTTTTATATCAAGATATTCACATTTTTGCACCGCAAATAACCCAGTCGCGCGGAAGAGAAAATTAATGCGTGTCGCAGCGGCATGGCAATTTGTGTGAAAAAGCGGCAGAGCGTCTCGCAACTCCTGTGCACGGTCCAGATGAAAAATCAACGAAATAAACCACCTGGAACGAGGAGCTCGCGGACGCGCAGCGGTGCGGTCATTTATTTCTGAAATGCCGGTGATAATATCTTTGCTCGTTGCTCGAGAGCAGCTGTGGGAAATGAAATAGCCGCGCTGAAAGTTGTGGATTATTTTCTCGCCGAAAAACACGCACTGGCCACGCGCTTGGAATTTCTGGAGGTCGTCCAAATTCGAGAGAGAATAAAACGGGAAGAGACTAAGAGGCTCTCTTTCTATCTCCCGGCCACACCAAAATGCTCAGAGGTCTGCGAAATGTATAATTATATCTTCAGACCGCATAATGAAAATTTAGCCAATCTAGAAATATATCAGCCGGGATAATTTGTTTGCAAATTTTTCAAAACGGTCTGCATTTCAAAATTTGAAATAATACCGTAGGAAAATTGTGCGAGATAATTAGGAATCAAAATTTTCAATTGTTGCGCAACTTCAATAAATTCAATTTGTTTCTCCTTTGAAAATTTAAATAGCAATGTAGAAATAAGAGGAATGTAAAATTAATTAGTTTTTTTTTTTGTGGTAGAATTTCACGATCGAGGGTTGATTCATGGTGATTTGAATTTAAAATCGGCTTTTCTTCGATGGGTTTTTGTGAGTTGTTTATTGTTTAAGAAAAACAATATAACCTGCTCTACATGTTTCGGCTGCGGGCTGCAGCCATAATTCATGAGCTGCGAAAACATTTTGACAAATATTAGTACAAAAATAAATCTTTTTTGTGTTAAAATTTTGCGAAGAAATGTTAATTTAATTAATTTTTCACGGAAAATTGTCAATCTAAGAGAACAATAATTTTTGAAAAAAGATTTATTTTTGTACTAATTTTAGTCAAAATGTTTTTTCTGAAACAATAAACAACTCACAAAAACCCATCGAGGAAAAGCCGATTTTAAATTCAAATTATATTTTTTATATTTATTTATTTATACAACAATTTTGTGACAATTTTGAATAAAAATGAAGAATTATCAAATTGATTAAAGAAAATTTTGATAATACAAATACGAAATTTAACTTCCAATGCAGAAAAAAGAGCTATTTAAATTTCATGAAAACAAAATTTTCTTAATTAAATTTAAAAAAAAAACTACAATCTATTATTCCAAATTTTAAATTGGAATAAAATCATCAAAATTAAATAATTTTTGTTCTTGAAAATTTGGCTTAGATAAAAAAAAAGATAAAAATAAATTCTGAATTTTCTTATTTACTTAGTTTTTTTTTGCATTTTTTTTCAGCACGCCCCTTCGGACATGCGACACTGTCGAGGGGTGTTGTCGGACAAGGTGGCCATCTTCAACGGACACGCACAGACGCACCTGGCCGGACAGGCGCGCAACCCGTTCAGCGGACACGCGGCCGACGGGAAGCCGGTGCTGGACACGAAAGACGCAAATTACGGCAGGTAAAAATCTCAAAGTGCAAATTTATGTTCTATTTCGGGCGCCGCGTTTAGTTCAAAGGCCTACTTTTGACGCCCTTTTGATTATATATTGAGGACGCGCGGCGGCGAGTGAGTGAGCGAGGAGGAACTCCTTTCGCATTGGGGTGTTGATCTCGCCCACGGACACCTCAATCTGCAAGCCACAGGGCGTCCTGTTTGTTGATAAATTCACTTTAGGCCTCGGCTATTTTTAAAAATTTCAACAATTCTAAATTTTTTTTTACGAAATCATTGAAAACGTTTCCTGGGTAAAAGTGAGACCGACAATGAGAGGCGAATTTAGTGGAATTTTAATATAAAAAAAGTTTCAGACATTTAGGCAAAATAAAAGAATAATAATTTCCTAAAATCATGTAATTACAAACACGCTTATTATTTTTCAAATTAACAAAAATTTTGTATTTTAAGTGTTTACTGAACAGCGTTAATTGCTCTGCAAAAGAAGCAGAATTAATCACAATGGAAATGCAAATTGAAAAAAAGAGTTTTTCCTCTAAAAAAGGTGACAATTTTGACCCTGATTTAATATGATTTGTACGAAATTGACATCGGTGTAAAATAATTGTTGAAAAAATTTAAATCTTCGCTTTTACTGATCACCTTTTTAGTGTTTTTTTTACCTTTTAGAACTTTAAATATCTGTTGTTGCATTAAAAGTTTAAAAAAAATATATATAATTAGGACCAATTTCTTAAAAAAAAAAATTAAATTGAAAAAACTTCCCAAATAAATCAACAAACTTTCTACAAAACAATAAAAACAATTTTTTTTTCATTATTATTCTTGTAGCTTTTTAAACAATGGGATTATAATTTTATTTTTTTATTTCTTACAAATTTATTTCTATAAATTTTCCTGTCACGTTTCTAATCAGGAAATCGTCAAATGATTAATCTTACTTATAAAAAAATGTTCATCATTAATATGTGAATTTCCTTGATTTCGTATTTTGTAGGTCAAGGGTTTTGAATCTCTGCGACCACTTTTAAGTGTTATTCTCTGTTGTGCAAAATGGGATGTTTTTGTTCCACATTCCACACCCGAGGCGCCGTAAAACTTTATTTTTAAAATGCACAAGCGTCGCCGCGACTGTATTATTTTACGAGAAAATATATATATTTATTCATTTGGTGACAGCGGCAGGACGAAAACCGCATCGTTCAAAACGTCCCGAGTGTCAAAAGAAGCAAATTCGGGTGCTCAGGTAACAAATGGCTCGAGTGTCATGACAAAGATAAATCCTATTTATCCACTTGCACGCATTCCTTTCGGCCAAATGTATCTCTCGGTGCTGCCAATTTTATTTTGTCTCTGCGAGAGAGCAAAGCTTAATGAATTAGTTTCCGAGTCGCTCGCGTAGGGTGAAAGTTGCTAATCTGTTTTTGACTCCCACGAGAGAAAAAGACGGTTTAGTCAGATGGAGATGTGAGAACTGATTGGCATTTCCTGGCTCGTTGCTTCCCAAGTTCTCACCTTTAACTCTCTACTTAAATGAAATAGTTCAGAAATAAATAAATTAGAGATTCCCGAAGATTCTTTACTAAAAAAAAAAAATAAAGCATAGATTACTTTATTTTGTTTTATCCCTATTATATTTTATTTAAATCTAATTAACTGTTTTTGTTCCTTTTTTAATCAAATAAATTCATTTTTAAATTGAATTTAAATGAAATTCAGGATCCTTCCAAAATCAACATTTCTTTGTTTTTTTGAAAATTTAGAATTTTCTGCAATTTAATTAGGATAATTATTTATTTTTATCATATTAAATTCAAATGAATGTCAGATTTGACTTTTTGAAAGAAATAAAAAGATAATTTAATTAATTAACTACTTACTTTGCAAAATAATTTATAGCTTAAAACTTTATATTTGCAATTTGAAATTAATTATAATAAAATCTAATTCAATATTTTTAAACTTCTCCTAGAAATAATTAAAAAAATATATATACTTGTATAGAATTAATAATTGTTCTACTTTTTATAGGAAATAGGAAGTAGAAAGAAAGCAATTAGCAAATGGTATTTTTTTTTTTATACAACCTTGGCCTTTATGTTGTAAATTATATGTTTGCAAAATAATGCATTCTTGGTATGCAGAAGCTATTCTTGAATGGAAATGAACTTGAATCTTTGGGCCCGTTAACGAGACTCGGTGTTTGCAACTCGTCTTCATCTCGGTCCCGGCGATGATGCACGACCGCTGAACATACAGTTAAATATGTTGTCATCTAAAATTGGCACCGCCATATTGAGTAATCGCCCTTCGATAGATTTACGTACGTGCAGCTCTTTCAAGGTCTGTTTGTCGCTCCGTCCGAATGCACGGCAGAATCAATGCGCAGATGGCGTGCCAGGAATTTTCGCAGTTATCTCTGCCAGATGCTGCGAGACGCTTTAAACCTTTATTGCGGAAAGCGCGAGAGAGCAGAGAGGAAATGACTCACGTAATATTCGCAAATTTGTTGCAACAAAAATTTTGTGCAATTTGTTCGTTTAATTAATTGTAAACGAAAATTATAAAACTGCTATTTTTGAAGATCATGATTTAAAAAGGAATGAATATCAATTGAAAACTTTAAATTTTAAAAGAATTATTTCAGAAAGCACAATTTTTCTCAATAAAATTAAATAAAATTTGCTCGGACGGAATTTTTGTTAGTTAATTTTACAATAATTTTCCATTAAAAACCGTTATTTAGCAATCATTTTCATTTGCTAAATTATATATTATAAATTTCCTTTGATCTAAAAATACAAATTAAATCAAAAGCAAAAAATTATGATTAAAAATTGCTGATATGAAATTTTAATTAATTAAGCGGATTTCTTTTTTTTAGTGCAATGAAAGAAAAGATTGTACTGAAAATTCTAAAAGAATAAAGTAAAACAAGTTTTCATTTATAAAAAAAACTACAACAAAAAAGTCAATTTTTTTTAATTTTTTACATAGTTTTGGATTAGATTTTGTTAATAAATTGGAAATTATAAATTAATTATGAATTAAAACGGAATAAATGTCATTGCTAGTTTTCAGACGGATAAATTTGGAACCTTAAAAGTCACAATTGGTTTTAAAAATTAATGCGTTCTATAAAATTGTCTTTCAAATCTCATTTTTGATAATTATAAACACCGGTGACTTCATCAAACTAAATCTAAAAATTTTTATCAAATTTATCTTGAGCACTTCTCGCAGGTGAATCATCAGAGAGCGACTGATGCTTCTTTTGTGTCTCTTGAATCATCTTTTTGACGCGCAGAAAGAAATGAAAAAGCACATCTCACTGTCGGGGCCAAAAACAAAAATAAACCGGTGAAAGAGGAGGTGTGTTTCTCTCTCTCTCTCCGTCATGATATACAAAACACACACTACGCACTGGACGGACGGACACGAGAGCAAATATTGTCGTGCGCAAAACTTCAAACAAATACCTTCATGGACCGCCTCCAAATGACTTAAAAAAAAAAGGCTCAGTTTTGTCACGCGGATTAAAAATAGAGCGAAAAAATTGCCAGCCCTTGTCTCATTTGACCGCCCTTGAGAATGGAAATTAACAAGCTAGAGCTAATAAATAGCAAACAAAGGGGTGAAAAAAATTCAGCGATTAATTAATGGCCTAGTGCGATTCGCGCTGTTTGAATTCAATTAAACCTCTTTAGAGCCGAGCGCCGGCGAACGGATTTTGCTAACGAAATTCTTCATCGTCTGGCTCACAAAAAGAAAAAAAAAAAACGATAAAAGTTGGCTGCGATCTGAGGTAGAAAATTTTCTGCAATTAATAAATTTTTAAAAACTGCGTAAATTCTTATGCATTTATTTATTTATTTTTTTTAAGGGTTTAAAATTTAATTTTATTGTCTGAGTGAAATTTTTTTATAAACAAATCAGCAATAAAAAAAGCTTTTCTTTGTCCAAATAATTATAAATTATCTAAAAATACTTTCTCCTCGTGCATTAATCAATCAGGATTTAAATCAAAAAATCCAATTAAAATATTTCACGTTTCAACAATTCAATTTTTTTTTGTCTTCTTTTGTCTGCTTCTGAGTGAAAAAAACCCAGCCGCTTCTCAATTAATTAGAAATTCGCTTGGCTCTGTTCCAGACCTGTCGAGGGATCAAAAACTGACCAGCGGGGCAAGAAAGCGATGCAGCACGTGGCCAAGGAAATGCTCGAGTTGTGCGAGATCATCAACGAGTACGGCCAGATGGTGCCTGCCAGCGACGAAATCAAATTCATCCGCTTCGGCGAGCTCTTCAATGTAACCATAATCAAACTTTTGCTGAATTAATTTTGTTTAATGGAATAATTTTTTGCAGATTTACACCATCATTTCTGACAAGGTTGTGGGCTTGTTGCTCAGAGCCCGAAAACACTGTTTCGTCGATTTCGAGGGCGAGGTTTTATTCCAGGTTAGTTTTTTACTTAAAAATAAAAAATTAAAAATTAAATTTCCCATGAAAATAATATTTTAAGTTACATTTAAAATTTCATTTCAGAGGAGAGACGACGACGTTCCTGTTTTGTTGATCAAACCCATCCAGGAGATCAGAACGATATTCAAGAGTGGAGAGGCTCTCAACCACGGGACCAACAGGTAATGAAACAAACTTTGATTATGCAGATTTTCGCCTCTCAGTGTATTTTATTAACTGAAAATGATCTGTAACAACATAGACAATTACTATTTTTTCTCACACAGATATTTCTGCTGTCATTGGCTTTTTGCGAAAAACAATTTTTATTCAACGAAACGTTTGGCTCAATTTTTACAAAAATATTTCTGCATTTCTGTTTCAGCTACGCTGCGGTCAGCAAAAGATGATAATCATCCAGACACGTTTCTCAATATTTCCATGAACGAGGGTGTGAAATTGTCGACTTTTTTTAGAGAGAGAAAGAGAGAGAATGGCGGGGAGAAATCATTCATATACGTTGGTTAATTATTGTACATATTTCAGAGCTTAACTGTTGTTCTCAGAATTTCTGCATCTTAAACTCTATTTTACTTTATTTTGACTAGAATGTAATAATTATTTAATTGTTAAACGTTTAGTTAATGCGATGCTGACAGTGAAATTGTGTATTATTTTTGTCAATCAGAAGAGATGGAATTCTTGTGACCGCATAATAATATTTTAATTAAAAATAGATTTGGAAAAATGTCAGCAGTTTTTCAATTTTCCTTCTCAAATTAGAAATCACATGTTTCTTTCTCAACACATCTTTTGTGCAGGACCCTCGACACAATTGATTAATTACCTCACAAATGATAACAATAATTATTTTATACAAATGGAAATTGGATTGATCTGTGCTCAAAATAAGTGAAACAAAATGTACAACAGGCAGTTAGGGTTCAATTCGAACGCACAATTCAAAGTGCAATATATAATAATTAAGAAAAAAAAAGTATATTTATAATGTAACGAAATTTCTCCCAGCGGGGAACAAATATAGGCAGTAAAAATGCTAGTCTCTGGTTTGACAAAGAGGGACGTTAATCAATTCGAAAATTTCCGACCGAAGCGAATTTGCAAATTCACGACTCATTCAAAATTTGTTGTTAGGGGTTGGGGGAAATTCGTTAGGAACCCTCACTAGAGAAGAAGAAACCAACCACCCTTTTTACGGCTTGCGTGGTAAGGGTGGGGGTGGAGCGTAACTCATGGGTGGGCAGATGTTGATCGAGTTGCTGTTGGCCGGGTTTTTGCGCTCCTTCAGCGGAATGTTCTCGTAAATTTGGTGCGGCAACTCCTCAGGTGGCCTGGAAAAATGAAGAAATTCAAAAAAATGCAAACAAAAAAATTATTTTCAAGAAAATAGGATTCGTAGATTAATTTAATAGAGTTGAAATAAATTTTGAGAAAATTTATAAATAATTAAATAATATATAAATTGCAGCCTTCGATTTCTCCAACTTTACTTCAATCCAGTTCAGTTAGCAAAAAAATTTCTGATTTGATTTTGCTCACCTTGGAAGGGTGACTTCGGATTCGACAGGTAATCTGCCGTTACCGTTGATCGAAGGTTCACACCTGCAGTTGGATGCGAGAGAAACCGTCGAGACAGCCGGGGTTACCCTGTTGATGTTGCCACTCAGGTCGGAAGAGGCGGTGTTGCCACTTGTGTAGCGGATGTTGCTGTAGTCTCGGCCCATCTGAAGACTCCTCTGAACAAATCAAATAAAATTTTAAATAAAATTCAAACTTTTGAACGTATTCATTTCTGTGCCACAACAAAAAATATCCAAACTAAAACAGTGCCTAAATCAATTTACTCACGATGATTGCATACAAAGAACTCGGCTCTGATTTGCCCTTATTAAAAAGTTGAGAAAAATTGATTGAATTTTAATATCAAATTACCTGTTCAGCCTGAAGTCTGGTGGAGACGGTTTCGATGTAGTGCTGCACAGAGAGGTAGACAAACTTGTACTGCGCCTCCGTCTGCACCATTCCAGACCGCTGCGACCGCACCATTTGGATTGTGCGCTGAATGTCGATTTCACAGTCGAGGCCTGAAAAATTAGGCAAAATTAGCAACTTTCACTTAAATAAAAAATGGGTTTTCTCCACCTTGACGCTTGATTTGGTCCAGGATCATGTCCACTACGATGAATGTGCCCGTCCGACCGATGCCTGCACTGCAGTGCACCAAAATGGGTCCGGCGTCTGGAATGCTGCTCTGCCGCGCATTCACGTCGTGCAGGAAATTCAAAACACAGCCAGGGTCTGAGGGAACGCCATGATCTGGCCAAGCCTGGAATAAAGGAAATTGTTTCAAATTAAATTATATAAAATTTGAAAATCTAAATCTATTTTTTAATTCTTCATGAATGCTTTTAATTAAAAACTTCATCATTAAAATTAACTTGTGAGAATTTACAATTATGAAATTGAAAAAGACTTTAAATACCTCCAATACAAAATTTCGATTTTTTTATTACAAATTTTATTCCACTTATTTTCCAATAAAAAGAGATTTTATTTCACAAATAAAGCTAAAAACAAAAGGTTCAATTTTTCTTCGATTTTTTTTTTTGAAATATAATATAAATTCAACTTTATCTTAACCATTTATCTATGAAATTAATTATAAAATGCCTAAAACCGCACCTGGAAGTGGAAATGAAAAACTTTTCTCTCTTCAGGGACGCCTTCCCTACTGACGAGGAACTCTCGAAGGGTGTAGTCGGCGTTGGAACTTTCACATAGATTTCTCACTTTTACCAGTCCATATTCTTTCAACTGCCCATCATCTGGCCAGTATCTAGCGCATTTGTTCTGCAAAAACAAATTAAGAAAGACATCAGAACCTAGCACTAATTATACAATAATTTTAAGACCGATTAAAAAATATTGTATAAATTTAAACAAAAATTGAATCAATAGAGAAATTTTAAAAAGAAAATTACAATTTGATTTTTTCCATGAGGAGCAAAAACCTACGGAAACATTGAAAATTAAAAAAGTTATACTTTTAAAAACCATTTTGATTGAAATTATCTCAAATCTTACATTTTTTTAAATTTGATTTCAATTGTTTTATTTTCTCACCTTCCCTCTTTCGATTTCTTTGGTTGTCATGACGATGACCCTGGTGTTTTCCTGCCACACCATGTACCAAAAGTCACCAGTGGTGCTTGGCAAACAGCCTTGGGTCGCAATGTACGATTTCTTCGGCTCGTCCGTGTACATCTCCTCCTCGGGCTGGATGTAGTTGGCGTTGATGTAGTCCGAGCCAGGAACGTTCGGGTCCACTTGGAGCAGTTTCACTCTCGTGTCATCGACTGTGTTTAAAATCATGCATTAAATATTGGTCAAAAATTGGAGAATTTGATTTTTTTTACATGGCAATATGTTTTTGTATCGGTTTTTGTTGCGGTTCTCCGGTTTCTGGCCCTCTTTCCTGGAGAACAGGTGCTTGCACTCCTGCTGCTGCAACGACTCAAACTCCTCCCAGAAACCAGCCTTGCCGGTCAATTTGTCATTCTCTTTCTGCAAATTAAATAAAGTCGGTTAAAAATAGAATTAAATTTAAAACAAAATTAAATATGGAAATTTAAAAAAGAATTAATAAAGTTTATTAATATTAATTTTTTAAATCAACTTATACACATAATTTACTACTTCGATCTATTATTTTCTTAAAAATTTTTTTTTTATTTTTAATAAAATTTATTTTAAAATTTAAAAAATTAATATATAATAATTTAGTTAATAAAACTGTCAATAATTAATTTAAAAAAATATTATTGTTTAAATTAAGTCAAAATAGTTTATTTTTCTAAACTAATTTAATGGTTTTAATTCAAAAAGTTTATATTCAATTTTACTATTTAATTAATTTCTTTAAAAATAAATAATTATATTATTAGTTAATAGTATATTATATTTTGTGTGAAATTTAAAGGATTTTTTTAATCTTATTTCAAAATAATTTTGTTTATACCTGAAGCTCTTTAACTCGACTGTCAATGCCGCTGGCGTTGATTCTGGTGGCATTGAAGGGCTGCTTGAGGTGCACAACAGTGCCACTCGTTTCAACCATTGGGTTCTTCTTGTAATGCTCGATTAAGTCCGAGAGGCTCACAAAACGCTCACCACCTCCAACATCAAATTTGCCATCCTGGAATCAAATAAAAACATTTTTTGTTATTATTTTTAATTTTAATGTCTGTCAAATAAAGATAAAATGAAATTTATTTGCCAATAAAAAGGACATAAAACTTATTTATCGCTTGCGATTTCCTTCGGGCCTAATTTGACATCGTGTTGCGCAACACAAACAACAAAATAATAATACTTTACGACGTGCAAATTTACTTCCTGAGCTGTCAACTTTCGATTTCGGCCTGCCAAACGAAGCACCTGCGCGCGACATTCCTGAATTTCGTTTCAGGTACGCCAACAAGTCACCAGGGCAGGGAGGAAACGGAATTAATTAACCGGAACCGACAAACAGATGAGGCAACACCGATGGATATGACGACGCATGCATAGAAATTAAGCCGTTGAAAGAGAGAGAGGAAGCGACGAGGACCACCCTTCTCTGTAACGAAAGAACAATGCCAATCGAAAACCGCAGTTAGTGATGCAAATTAAGTTAATTTTGAAGAGTTGCATCAAATGCATTGTTCAAGGCGTTTTATAAGAGAATAATTATTAAATAATTTCTTAAGATGGAAATTTTCTCTTATTTTATAGAAAATGGAAATCATTTTACAAATTTAATATTAAATTTTAATAAAAATAAAGGTTACAGCACTTCTAATTTTAAACAACTATAATTAAAGGAAATTTTTTTAATTTATGGAGGGTATTTTTTTTTGCAAAAAGTATCCAAACTTCTAAGCGTTACAATAAGTATTGAAAAACTTGTAACCAGCTCTAAATGAACAAAAGAAATGTGTACATCTAAAAAAATTTACTATTTTATGATTTAATCAGATCAAGAAAATTTACTGAAATTGATATTTAAGCAGTAATTTTATTTTTTAGTTTCAACTCAGCTAAAAGTAGAATGTTGTTGGCAAAGTCAAGATTAAAAATGACGTTTTATTTTGTTAATTTAATTTAGTCAAATGAAAAGATTTTAATTATTCACCATTAATTTAAAATTGAAAAAAAAAAAATTAGATTATATAGTAATTCGCCAAAATTTCCAAACCAATGTAGAAAATGCTGATTCTCTACACAAGTTATAAATTTATTTTATAAAATTAACAATTATTCTGTTGTTAAATAGATTATTTTAGTCTCTTTAAACATTGGTTTTGGTTTAAAAAAATTAAATTCATGCTCATTTTTTACTTCTATGGTGAGCTAAAATTTGCAAAATCTCAACAAACTTCTATTAGTCGCTAATAAAACTGGTGTTTTCCTAAATAATGTACTAAAAATGAATCTCAACTATATAAATTTTTTCAAAATTATATCATTCAAAATCGATTTTCTTTTTAAAAATAAAATCAAAACGTAAATTTATAAAAAAAAAAATCACAAAATGATTGATTTCTAGCGTTTTAATTTTAGCCCGAAGCGAACTGACTTTCTATGAAGGACTTTAATTAGTTCACTGACTTTGCGAACGCAACTCCATATTTGCACGTTCGGATTGACAAGGAAGCAGCTCTCGGTGCAGCTCGGCACGCACAGGAAGAGATGAAATCAGCCCAAATGAAATCACGCCGCTGGCAGCGAGTGCGCGGCATAGAAAATTACATCGGTACGCGCCTCACGTCGCGCCAGTCCGACTATTTATGCATAAATTATCGTGGTCGAGTAGGGCAAAAAGCCTATACTGCGAAGGCTATACGCGAGCGTGAGGTCACCAGCTGGAAGCTGGACCGCGCACGAAAAAAAAAATCATCTCTTTGTTGCGAAAAAAGGAAGAGCGGTATAGATTAATTATCGTGTCGCGGACTGATTTTTCACGTTTACGACTTCAGCCTTGCCGAGGAAAATAATTACGTTGGCAGACCGAATGCTGTGTGTCCTTCTCGCCAATTGTCTTTTGTCTCAAACGATTGCGTCGGATTCGCCTGCACGACCGCAGACCTTTTTTAATGAGAGAGAAGCAAAATGATTGTTTTAAAAATCGAGAGAGGAATGAGAATTGAATTGGCGAAAGGTCAAAATTTAACTAAAAATCCATATATGATCTTTGGGATCTTTGAGTGACATCAGAAGCGATGACGCATAAAATGAAAAGAAATTCAATTTAAAATTAAATAAAAAATTTAAAAAAATTGCTAAATAAAAAATAAAAAATGCCAGAATTAAAAACGACAAAATTAGACATTGCAATAATTTCCTCATTTATTTTATTAATCTGTCTATTTGTTACCTTAGAAAGGTAGAATTATTATTATTATTGTCGCTTTTTGAGGTCCCTTTTTTATCTTTGCAAAAATTTAATTAAACTGTACATAAAAAAAAACAATTGGATTAAAAAACTACTGGAATTTTTCTCTTGAAAAATAATGACAAAATCCTTCTCCAAAATCAAACTCTATCAAAAATATTTTAATCCTTTCTAATGAATATTCAAAATTTTAATTGAACGATAATGATAACGTCAATTACTTTTTATGACATTGTTAGTTAATGACCTTCTTACCACAGATTGATAGGCAAGGTGATGAACTAATTTTTAATCAAGAGGATTAATAATTGCGAATTACCCTAAAATTGATTATATTTGGCCTTGATAAATAATTCTCTAATTCAAATTTCACGGTCAAAATCATATTGGTTATTTTGAGAAAAAAAATTATAGTAAAATTACTAAAAATTCGTGATGGAAAATTCACTTTATATAATAATAAAATTAATAATTTCATTTGATGTCAAATTAAATTAAGGTGTCCTATTAGTTGATTTGATGAATTATCATCAATTTTGATTAGGCAGTTTTTCAGAAAAATAATTCTTTTGAAAATTCTTTTAAAAGAAATATTAATTTTAAATAAAATTCACCAAAGCTATCCTAGAATGTGAAAATAATGTTAATTAAAGAAATAATTTTCAGCAAAATCAATCGCGCCAATTTCCAGCTGAAGAGAATCGTTAAATGTCTCAATTACCTTCAAATTTTATTAAATGTAATTTTTGTAGACCAAAATATAATTTCTTTTCAAATTTTTTTAAAATAATTGGAATAATTTGTTTGCATCAATATTTTAATTTCGCAGATGTTTCCGATGGAATAATCTATTTGATCTAGAAATAGAATTCCAAGGTGCGATCGCCATAAACTAGCTCGACCTTGCCGCCTCCGAAATAGGAAACTGCGGCGCGAAGAGTGGAAAGAATAACATCAATGATGGGCTCCTCCGTCTTACCTGGCACCTGATCATGACGTGGGTGACCCTGTCCTCCGTCCTGACCGAGAGGACGTAGTCGCCGGGCTTGCTCTGCGACTCGCGCACCAAAAAGCTTCCGTTCTTCCCCTTGTCGATGATCATCTTTTCGGCCTCCTTCGCCGAGAGGTGTCCGTGGAACCACCTGTGGACACAAATAATGCACAATCTGCTTAGCCAAGGTTCAAGATACGTGACGTCCGACAGAGTCAATGTCGTTTATTACACCCGGCACTGTCAAGGCGCCACGTCGCAGACTGGCCACCTCGCTGACCTCAAGTCATCGCACCTTCACCCATTTCGCTACTTCCTCGATAATCATTTCTATTCACTGCGCAAGACGCGTTAATTGTGCTTCTATTCGCTAGAGGTCAAAAGTCTGGTTCCGATTCAAAGTTAAAATGAAGCAAATTAAATTTATTAAAGAAAAATTATTCAAAACTGAAGTCCTGGAAATCTTTGCAAAATTTTGAGACAAATAATTTTACCTTCGTTTAAATTCGTTAAATTTATTCAATTTAATTACAAAAAGGAATTGAAATTTTAGAAATTCTAAATTAAACACAATTAACTTCAAACCTACAAACAAAATATCGTCCAAATTTAATTAAATGAATTCAATTTAAAGAAAAAAATCCCAAATAAATAATTTCTTCAAATTAATTTATTTGAAGCAATTGATATAAATTGTATTCAATTTATAGCAAGTCTATGGTCTGAAATGTCTGAATCTGGTATTTTCAGTTTTTTTTTTTAAATTACAGTAATAATACTAATTTGAAAATAGAATCTTTAATACAGTTAAAAATTAATTTAAAATGTCCCGTTAAATTAATAAAATTGATCTACAAGGAGGCTAAAATCATGGAAACAAATTAAAATTAATAAAAAACCTGCTGTTTTGCTGAAAAAAATTCTTTTAAGTTTGCATTTTCAGAATCTGATTTGCACTTTTTAATGGAGGTAGAGTCTTTTTTTGAGCAGCTGGAGTGAAATTTAAAGTGGGATGCAAAACAAACCCAGGCGTGGCATTTTTTATAATTTATTTTAAACGAGTTTATTACACCGCGACAAAGAAAATATGGAAATGGCTCATTCTATTTTTGACTTCTCGTCTTGCTAGTTAATTTTATTCGCCCATCGTTTCACTTTCACCAAAATGCACTCTTATTCACTTTGATTAAGTGATGCACTCTGGTCTGGAACTTGTGCGATATCGGTTTCGACATTTTGTTTGATTAGTGATCAAAGACAATCAGCCGCGACAATTGACAATTTCATGTTCAACAAGCTCGACAATAAGCGTAAAACACTTGAGACAGAAAATCCCGATCGGTTTGAACAAGTTAAGTATCAAAAGTCGCACAAAAAGGTTCAGATTTTATCTCAATAGTCTCAATTGCACTTAATTTCAAGTATAAAGTCGATTTTCATTCAATTAAAAACAGGGTGGGACAAAATAAGATTCTAATTTCACTCAATTCATCAATAATTCACTTAAATCGTGTAATTTTTCCAGTTTATTAAAAATTTAAAAGGAGAATATAAGAAATTAATTATCTGGTTCAAGATTCCTTAAACGCCGATGCTTCTCAGCAGGACGTTATTTGTTTAGCAAGAGCGAGTTTTATTGAATTAAACGTATACATTAAATCAACGGATTACGAGAGCAGCTTCGTTCCAAGGGAGAGCGAAAAAATGCTCGGATTTTTCTTTCTCTATCTTGTTTCTTCCTTCGCAAATATTAACAATGTTTTCTCGAGCGTGGATGAGAATAAAGAAAACGACCGCCTTCGCACTCTTCTCGTCATTTTTCTCGATGTTAAAAAAACGGCCGAGCTGTTATTTACAATTTAATACATCGCGACCCACACGCGCTCTTTTCTCTCGTGCGAAACCCACACTAATTTTTGCACCGATCGTCTCTTTAAAAAGGGGAAAAAATCGGCGCCCTTTAAATCGAGTTATTTTTGATTAATAACTTTTGGCCGAGACGAAAGAGAAATCCGGCGCTCGTTCTTTGAACTCAATTTTCAGCTCGTTGGGAGAAGCGAATTTGCCACTTTTAATTAATATTGTCAGAGAAGACGCCTATTAATCAGCGGGAAGCAAAAACTTCAGTTTAACGTCTTCATTTTTTTGTGGCCACCGTTCAAAATAGATCAAATTATCAATAAATTCTTTAGCAAAATTATTGTGTCAAGTTTTTAAATCAAATATAACACATTTTATTTCATTTTAATTAGATTCGTGAATTTCTAAGACTTTAAAATTAATTTAATTCGAAACATTTCTCAACCAACTGCTATTTCTAATTAAAAATCTAGGAAAATTGTCAATAATTCATACATTTTGCTACAAATATGTGAGATTTTAATTTTAAAAACTTAAAATTTTTAAATAGTTTTTTGTGTAAACTAAACTTACTTATTCTTTTCTTTTGAAAATATAGTGAACAAAATCAATTGCATATTAATATCATCGATTTTATTGAAAATAAATATTTGTTGAAATTTCATTAATTTTTTTTAAGTCAATTTTATACATTGATTTGTTAATTCTTTCCTTTTAAATTTTTATTATTACTTTTTTCAATCTCTCACAAATGATTTTGTGAAAAATTATCAAAGTAGATAGAATTTTCAAACCCACTTCCGAACAATGCCTGCATCATTTGCATAAATTAAAATTCCAGTTCCGAGCCATTCCTTGAATTTCGACACAACTTCCAATTATTATATTGTCTCGTATCAATCGAAACAATATTAAGTTCCGAATTCGTAGGCATCGTTGAGCAAGAGGGTTACCAATGAGTGAGAATCACGTGCGCTTGTTGTGTTTTTGATCCATAAAAGTCCGCCTACGTGCAAATGAGAGATTTTACGCCGAGAGCTGCGGAGAGCGACGAAGAAGCCGGTCGCTCGGTCAAACTATATAAGGCGACACCTGATTTTACCACAATATATAAATCGTAATGAAGGTGTTTAGAAATTTATTCAGCGCAACAAAAAAGAATCAATTTTACTACTCGAGTAAAACTATGTTTCAACAAATTGATATAAAATAAATAAATATTAATAATATTTCATCGAATCCATGACCTAGAGTTTTAGCATTTAAAATAAATTTAATAATTTTAAAACAATTCAGAAAGGGTTATTCTTTATCAATTCATAAGTTTGAGAAGTGGTTTGACAATAATCTCGGTTCAAGACCGTTCAAGACCAAGCTTTTGACTTGTGATTATTTTATCTTGTATTTTATCATCTGTCTCGAGGTGTGCTTTTGAATAGCCATTAGCGGCATTAGTGTCACTTGTGGTTGACACTAACGCTAGATTCGCTTCGGCCACGTGCTGGTCACTCTATTAATCAAATGTTAGTTCTATTTTATCATATTTTGGGTGAAAATGTTTGTTTTTCGCAGAGAAATCTAAACCTGAATAAAAAAGTTTTGAATTGCTAAAATTTCAACGTTTAAGTTTCTATCAAATCAATTTATTTTACTTAAAAAAGTCAAAGAACAAAGCATTGTCGTGCAAATTTGGTCATTTATTCACTAATTATAAAAAAAATTTATTACAGAAAATTGAAATTTGATTATGTTTTGAGAGAATTGATTCATATTGACTATTAATTTCAATTCTTTTTCACAACTTGGCCTTCCTGGTTCAAATTCTACACAAAATATAAATAAAGAAATAAATAAAATTAAAAATTACAATAATAGCTTCAATGAGGTCGTTTTAGCAAAATAATTTGCAATAATTAAAAAAAAATTTCTTTCAATCTTTTAAGAATTTGGACAAATAAACAAAATTTATATTTATGTATTTAATTGTAATTTTAGTTAATATAAAGTAAATAACTCATTAAGATTTAGAGATATAATTTTTTTCTTTGCAATTTATGTAATTTAAATTACCTCTTGACAAATAAAATTTAAAGAGAATTCCCAGTTACTGAAATGTTTACTTTTTTAAAGACCATTTTTCACCGCAAGTGAATTTTCAACAATTTTGCCGCGCAGCAGGATTTTCCCTCCAGTCGTGTTGATTATGTTAAACGCCACATTATATAATTCCATTTGGCCCGACAAATTCCGCGCACGCCTGCGATATTACTTTCAAGGTTAATATACAATTCTGAGCGTTTACGCGAGAAAAAGAGTTGTTAGCTATTTCACGTGGTCCCGGCTATAATTGCCGCGCATTAAAACATCAGACGTCAAATTGTCAGAAATGTCTGCGAGACGGACAGACAGACAGACGGTCCCTTTGTCATTTATAATTACGGAGGCCCCCAAATTCCACTTATTGTTGGGAAAAAATTCTAATAAAATGCTAAGATTAACCAATTTAATATGATGGAGTTTTTAAAGACATAAAGATTGGCAATTTGGTCAGAAAATTAATTGAAAGGAAAATTTTCATTCACTTAAAAATGAAAACTGGAGTTTTCTTTAATATGAACCGAAAATTAAAAAGTCAAATTAATTTCAGAAGATTCCAAATAAATTAAAATTTGTGAAAAGTAAGAAATAGACGAATAAACAAATAATTATTGAAATTTAATTTATTAAAAGCGATTCTCCAACATATTCTAGTTATAATTTGCTCCAAAATTCTTCAAAAATTAATTTAAAACTATTAATTAATGTTCGTCTGAAATGGATCAATTGTATCCCTAAACTTTTAAAAACCTCTGACGGAAATGAAGAAGAAAAATTTAATTCCTGTTTAGCGAAAATCAGCTTAACGATTTGACCAAATCAGTGGTGCTATTGAACCCCAAATCATCCCTTAATGAAATAATTATTTGTACTTAAATTTAAATCGTAATTAAATTCAGATCAATAAATAATTTCTAAAGGAAAACAAACTTTAATAAATTTGCCAGTGTGGAGTAAATTTTTAGCTAATTTTAGTCTCATAATTAACCCATTAATTAATTTCATTTCTAACCAAAATTTTAATCATTATAAAGGAAAAGTTATTTGATTTAGATAAATTAATTTCCAATGCTTGCAGCCCAGACGAGTTTTTGGTTAAATTTTGTGCTAAATTAACCCCATTTCCATTAAATCATTGCATTTAAATCCAGAGAGTTATTAAAAAGTGGAAAAGATGACTAAAAATTGAGACCA